TAGATATTAAAATTCTTATAAAAAAAATAAAAAATAGACAAAATTTGACTTATAATAAACCACTTGTTAAATTTTCAAGCACTTCTATTTAGACTAATGATTTTATCCATAGAGTACCTACCGAATAAAAATTACGTAAAAAACTAGCAATAAATTTATATTTTAAATAAAAAAAAACATCTTCTATTCATACACCTATATAGTTTGGTATATAGATCAATTTTAAACAAACTTTATTAAACAAAACATACCTACCATACAATATAAAATTAAAATATAATATACTTATAACCTACACAGTGTGTTTCCTTTTTAAAGTAACACAACATATTTCTGTTCAGTGACTTCAGATTGAAATGGGCTTGTCCGGAAGAGTTAGATAATATCTAAATACACATTTTTTGACAATTTTCAAATTGTAAGCCTTTTTATTGTGCACATGTACAATATAACTTAATTTTTTTTTAAACAGTAGCATATATTTTAAACACCAAATTTGGGTAGAATGCATTTTTCAAACTTATTTTGGCTATTTAACCATGGGCTTAAATTAAAATTGACAGAATAACGAGTTAAACTTTCAATTTAAATAGATTAATTTATTGAGAATAAACAAGTCGACAAAGTTGAGTAATATACTGACTGTAATCATGTACCTATGGATAATGATAGGCTAAATTTCAAGCAATTTATAAAATAGTATTGGTGTTAAATAATTTTATAAAATAAACTATAGAAATTACAAAAATTGTGTCAATTTATTTAAAGGTTTTTTAATAAACTGAACTCGAATGCAGTTTCAACAATTGATTACGTAAAACGTATACTGATTTAGAGTTGAGAATAAAATACCTACTTCTAAAAGACTAAACGACAATATGTCAAATTTTATCTTTGACAGACAAAGCTAAAAAAGATAATAAAAACAACACAAATAAGAAAATAAAAATGTAATCCAGTGGAAAATGACTTGTCAATTTAATAACGCTTTACAAGTCAGCTGTTTATTTCATAGCTACTTATTATTATGTCTATGGTTTATTTTTAAAAATCTGATAAGTGATGTATGATAATATTTCGGTTAATTTATTCGAATTTTTAAATAAGAATCGCATTTGTAGCGTTGATTTTATAGTATATTATATGTGTTATAAAATTATTAATTATTAATCAACTCTTAATTATTAAGAAAACGGTTTTATTTTTTGGTTATAAACTGTTTAATATGACCAAAATAACAAATCAAATACTACATGAATGTATTAAGGAACATAAAGATGTGTGGTGCTTTTTCAAACACCTGTTCATTCATTGATAGTGCGTCAATTTTAAAGTTCCATCATCATTACAGACAAATAAGGGTCTTGAAGCTATACTATAGAAACGTTGATCAACAGTTACTATATCATTAGGCCATTTTACCAATTGTGCAAATATACCTCATTTATGACTTTTGACACATTTTTAACTACACGATAAATAGTAGCTTTTTATACACCATGCATATTACCAATAGAGTGGTAGTGTGTTTACACATTTTTACTATCCTACATTTCTTATATTTTCTCGTTTTTTACATTTGATGAGAAAACTCTTGAAAAAATCGAAACATGATCTCCCTAAAGTACCTTACCACACCGATTTCTTTTTAGAAAAAGTGATTCATTTAAAAATTGGAGCAAGATTTCTGGTAGAAAAGTTGAAAAAAAAAACATCCTTACAATTCGAGTGGAGCGAGAACATATTTTTGGTGATATGATTGTTAAATAATGGGTGGCTTGGATAAATTTGAAGCTCCCGGCCTAAATTTGATTTCCACTACGCCCTTAGAAAACACTACGTTAAGTGACAACAGATCAACATTTTTCTTGTAGTTACAATATGCTTGTAGCTTTCCAAATTTTCATAAATTATAAGAAAAGCGTACAAATTCATTTTTCATAAATTCTCAAAAATTTGATAAATATTTCCTGTATAAGGAATTCCATCAGCTCTATAAAATATCGAAAAACCGAAGTCAACATTTTTTATAAGTATTAAAGTTCAAATTTTAATGAAAATCTTAAAATGTCTAATATTTAAAAACAAGTTTAAACAAATTTTGGAAAGAGTACGTTTTTGCTTGATCAGAATCGTTTTTCGTTAATGATTCATCGCTGCGTACAGTTATAAATTAATTAACTATATACCTATAAAGATGTCTCTTAGTTCTTTACCAACTTCCTATCTAAAACAGAGGCATAAACCGTCAACATTATCATTAGTTAGGTATATAAAATATATTACAGCTTATTATAACTAAATATATATATTCTATTCAGAGAGTAGGTAACTATGTTGATTAAGTTTTAGGGAAGAAAAGCTTGAGTAAATTTTTATTTTTAATATTTGTCATTTCCCCCCCTTTTTCTTTTGGCTAAGTGTAGGTATGTATTTTCAAAATATCTGCTTTATGTATTAGCTAGTGTTTGTATTTTCATAATGATAAAAAGTTATTGATAATCTTTGAGAAGCTAGTATAGATTGGTACATAATGAAGTCCTTTTTTAATGCTAAGACGCAGTAACGACAATAATTCTTCAAATGTTTTATGATTTATATGTGCAGGAAGTTGGCGTAGTCATCTGGTTTCCATAAAACAATTTTGTGAGTATATTTTTCTCTAAATTTTAACCATTTTCTAGATCAACGTTTGTATTACTTTTTTATTAATCTGACTAATCCATTGTAAAAGGAGTACCGCAATAATTAATAGTAAGGGCTATGCATGATAAAATACAAACGTCACGTCACAACAAGGAGAAAACCGAAATTACGGGGAAGTTTGATAAATAAATCTGATCGTAGACGGGGGTCTTTATAATCGAACAAGAAATAGTATACCTACCTACTAATTTAATACTATTGTTAAGTACATTATTATTTAATAGTTATATTTTATTCTTTAACGTCTTCCGATTTGTTTACTCACCATTAAACGCAAGAGGCTATTTGATTAATTCGAACATATGAATATTAATTTAGGTTAGTATAAATAAAAAAAAAAAAATTTGAAAGCATTTGCGAACTTTGCTACTAAATATTGAAAATACTTATTTCGTGTTCATAGGCGTGCGTAAGCCTCTTTTTCAAGGTATACAAAAGGCTACCACTAGTGCATCTGAATGATATTTTAAGCTTGTAAAACTCTGTCAAAAAATATACACAAATAATATTATTAAATATTATATTTAATTGAATATGAATGTAATATTGAAATGTCTTACCAATGTATAATTAAAAATGTAATTTTTACTGAAAATTCAAATTGAATTACAACATGAAATGTGCATATTTGATTCAACTCATATGATTTTTAAGGATCTCGGGAACGTAGCCCTCTATTCCCTGCCTATTTTTCAGGGTATACAACCGCATACCGCCTATGTTCTTGGGGACTCCACATAGATTAAATTTTGTAAGATCTTTGAGCCCAGGTCCTGTCCTAAATCCGACACAGACACAATTTTTATTGATTACAATTATAGCGGTAGTAGGACTATAATAATTGTAATATTCAATGATATTCTCACTTGTATACAGTTATTTTATTTAAGTAGGTATGTAGATACTAGTAATTCGAATACACCTCCAATGTACTATTATTAACTTATAACCACAATTTATCTTTCCGTTCTACATTCTTATAAAAAGAATACAATTTAAAAAAAGCCTGGCAGTGGTAATTGACACCTGGATCATAAATATCAATTCATGCAAGGAGTGCTACTTGGTTATAACACCCTGAGTAAGTCCATCTTTGTTACAATGATGTATGATATGAAAGTTAAAACACAAAAGATTCATTATTTTAAATTTTATTTTTCTACTAAAAATTTTTCCCCGAATTTGAAGTGTAGTCTTTTTTTTTTAAATAAAATATTGTCGAGTTGGTGTTTTTGATTTTCCTAATAGTTCCGCAAAAACTGAAAAGATTTATTTTTATCAAAGTTATTAACGGTTTCATTAATTTCTTTTTATAACCCAGTTAAAAATTATCTTAAAACTGAAAGTTTCACAAAGTACTTAGATTATCTTTTTGCAAGTGTGGTAAATTGTTATTCATATACATTTGATACTTTGGAAATGTTTCTTTTGGTTTTAATAGATAATATTTTGGCAAAATAAAAATGTTTGAAATGCTATATTTATTAAAAATTGTACTTAGTTGTAAAATAAGTTTAGTTTATTATAATTGGTTTTAAAAATTCATAAAATCATAAAAATTACATTTAAAAACGTTTTTAATTGAACCATGCTCAGAATCACATTTTGTCAGGAAAGATTAAATAATTTTTTGCATCCTCTTTAAATTTGTATATACTTAACATTTTTTAAGGTATTGAATAATTTATAATTTTCTACTTATTCTGTTCCTATAAATTCTAACTGTGTACCATGATTATAGTTAAAACAATCTTAAATAGCAATATATACTATACAATAGTAGGTAAATTATAAAAGTAAAATGTCAGGTATATAATATTACCTGAACAAAATAAATATGTAAATATGTTAGGAATAGTTTTGATATTCAAAATTTTAACATGTATATGTACTTATTTAAACAACAGTATAAATGTTTAATTTTGCCAAACCCTTTTTCTTTTTAGTTTTTATGATCCATGTTTCACATCCAAATGTTGCGACATTCCATAAATATTTTAATGAGTCTCTTCTTGATATTTTTTTTAAGTAAACAGTTTGTTTTAATGTCAGCTGTTTTTGTTAATGCTATACATTGTTTTATTTTTCAGATGATTTTGCTACTTAAATTAACCAACTATCCCATTTACTTGATCTATTTTTTTTTGAATATCTATGTACGTATTAGCTTTTATTTTTGGGTCTCTCGGATAGACTAAGAACTTCATTTTTATACTAATTATTTAATGTCTGATGTTCTGAAGATTGTAAAACATATCAATAATACTACTACTACTATTAAAATTGTTTGCAATGATTTATAGTTGCATACAGTAAATAAACTAAACTAACCTATACATTCTACTATCGTAACTAGCAACTACTTACACGCAACAGTGGCATATTCCCACCTGAAAAATAAATACTAGATGTGCCACTACTTCAAAAAAATGATAGGATTAAAAATATAAACCGTTTTTTTAATGAAATTATTATATACAATTTTAATTGTTCAAGTTCGGTGCTTTTATCCTTTGTGTATGCCAGAAAAATTTTATTTTCTATCTAAAGATCACCTAAAACCTAACTTATACAGTTAAGTATATTTGTAGTGGTCATCTATACTAGAAACGCTACATCTTTGTGGCCAATTATCTGAAATATGAACAACTTTATAGTGGTTTTAATAGACCTGTATAGAGAAAAATACATTTATCAGCTATAAATGATTAATTAAAATTTGTATTAATTTATGAGAGCACTGGTAAATATTGTTTTCTCTCAGTGCACCTTAGATAACATCTTAGACAGCTAAAGATATATTGCTCCAGATCTCTGTATTGTTCTTATGAATCTCAGAGATCTGAAAACTTAAACAATTCACTAAAATTAAAATTCATATTTAAGCACGAGTGAAAAAAACACCACCATTTTACATTATTTGTAATAATAATTATAGATTACAACTATTTTCAGATACTATTTAAATACAAGTAATACTCAATAACATATTTAATAAAAAAAAAAAAAATAGAATATTAGACTAAAACAAGGTATAAAATATTATATCTTAAATATGTATATGCTTTGGTTGTTAAAAAAATTTAAAACATTAGTTCCAAGTTTCAGTTTGATAAAATCCTTTAGATTCCATAATTTCAAGTGTATCTATAGATTCAGTATTACTTAAATTTTCAAATTTTTCAAATATTTTTATGAATACATCTTTAACTGCTGTTGGCATATTTTTTGCATTTCCAGCAACAAATACATAACATTCTTTACTAGAAAGTAATTTATATAATTCTTCTTCTTTTTGTTCCAATATATGTTGTACATAACTGCAATGGCATAAAACTGTATGTATTGTATAATAATATATTAGAGTAATAATGATTTTAAATAATACATTTTATGATCTTGATCTCTTGAAAATGCTGTAAACAATGATAATTTTCCATTGGCTACCAGTTTTTCCCAATCGTTAACAAAATGAAAATCACCATATCTATTCCTAGCTCCGAAATATAAGTATAATGTTTTTGCGTCTCCATATCCTTTAACTATAGATTCATGCACAAAACTTCGAAATGGTGCTACACCAGTACCAGGTCCAATCATTATTGAATGACAGGACTAAAATAAAAAAAAATTAAAATACTATAATTTTTCCCTTCATTTTTTTTTAATTTATAAAATAATACAACATATTTTTATAATTACGTGACTATATGGGAATTTAAAAGATCCTTTCTGAATCCAAACTGGTATTTTATCATCACATTTTAAACTAGAAAGCCATGTAGAACATAAACCAATTCGTTTAGTCAACAATTTTGTCTTATAAGTAACAACAGCAACAAGTAGATGTATTTCATTTATATGTACCTATAAAACATTTATAAAAAAATAATATTTAATACTTGAAGTTAAGTTATTTAATTTATATATATTTAATAAATAATATTTTAGATTCTGACAGGAATGAAGAAGCTTATAGTTTTATAAAGATTTTTAATTTTCATCTGTGCACATTTCTTCTACCAGGAGACTTGCTTGGATTTCCACATGTAACACCTTTTTTGAAAGAAAATTGGTGTGGGGAGGTAATTTAAATTCATTTTTCTTAAAAATACTAAAAACCGAAAAGAAAATACAAAATTTAATAAATATAATCTTATATATTTTTTTCTATGAACAATTTTTCAACCAGCAATTTTTCTCCAACTTTTAATGATAGCAAAGTTTCTAAAAGGAAATTTTACTTGGGAGGTTCTTTAAAGAAGTAATTTTTTGATTTTCCCAAGAGCTTTCCTAGCAAATGTGAAAAACCAGTATAAAACATGGGAAAACCGGTAAAATTGGTAAAACAAATTTTATTAAAGAAAATATATAAAGTCAAATTATTTATTTTACTACAAAATTACATATATATTGTTGACAAAGCATCACTATCAACTCTACTCAAAATCGTTTTTTCTTAAGCAATGGTTTATCGTTGCTTACAGATATACATTTATACATTAAATTGCTGTCTATATCACCTATACCAGTGGCTGCACCTGTCTCCCATTATCTTACATTTTTTTTTTAAATAAAAATGTATCTTATTAAATTTATCTATAATAAGTGCTGTTATTGCAATGCCCAATTAAACCCAATGCTGGCTAAGAAAATACATTAAGTGGTCAGTTTTTAAAATGTTGTAACTATATGCTTAATCTGGCCTAACTATTAGCAATAGCTTATTTATGGAATTAATTTATTTAGCAATATCAACATAGTCTTTATATCAATTATTAGGGGTCAACCACCCTCGTCTTAAACTTCTACTTTCCAATCCACCACATCATCCTATCATACACCTATCGCCTTTATATCAATCTGTCACTATCAACTAGTTCTTTTTGGTTTTCTTCCCCCCTAAGTTTATTTTGATTACTATTCTTACTGTTTCTGATTCCTCTCTCCTGACACGCCAAAACCTTCTCAGTCTAAATTGTATAATATAGTTTACATAATAATAATAATAATATATACATATATTAATTTATAATTTGTATATTATGTATATATAAACTCACAGAAGGCGCTGAAGCAATTGAAAAAGCTCTGGGGCGTATTGAAGAAAATATTTCAAATAGGTATTCTAAGGATAAATTAGCCGTTGCATGAGGAAAGTCGGTTAATACTTCTAGAATAGTTCTTCTTGGGCGATTGCAATAGTTGTATAGTTCTTCTTGTCCTTCAGGAGTTGTAAACTCTTGCAATTTTTCTTTTTCTAATTCACTATCAGTGAAATATGACAACAATTGAAATGTGTATCTATTTGGAATAATCTATATAATTTTAATTTTTAGAAAATATACAATTTTGCCATTAAATAATAAATATATTTACATTTAAATCCCAATAATATTTAGCACATTGAAATAAAGTAAATGGTTTACACAGATTATAAGGTACAGGCATATCATTACTGCGTTGTGTAACACTTAAAATAGTTGTAGGATCTAATTTCATTTTCTTGTTTTCTTTAAACAAATCAAAGAAATTGTTTACAGATTTTTCAGAATTAACTGGACGTACCATTAAAACATCTCCAGGAAAATACTTAACATTTTGATCTGTGCATTCAAATTTTAATAACCGCACATCCTAAAAAAATATTTAATGATTATTAATTTTTATTCATATACTAGTATACATTGTATCTATTTCCTAACTATTATTTAATTTATTCATATTAGAATTTATAAAAATGTACAGAACTTACTTGAAAATGATTTTCTGCAGTTGTTTTTGTGTTTGATAAACACGTAACTATTGATGAATTTGTTCTAAACAAATCATTATTTGGCAACCTTTCATCTATATGAACTGTATCTTTTGAACTGTGTACATTCCACCTTACAAAAATCATGAATTATTAAATATTTTTAATTTAAATTTGCCTAATATAATTTAATTTATGATTTACTTTGGCGGTGGTAAAGTATTTCTATCAATAGGTATTAATCCATCTGCAAGTGAATGTATTTCAGTTAATACATTCCATAAATTATTTATCCATGGGTCAATTACAGCAAATGCTCCAATGTCATGTTGATCATCAGCTAATCCAATATTACAAACAGGTTTTCCTCCTAATTGTATAAGTCTTCTATATAGTTTTTTTGCAACATGATTGAATTTTACATATGAACTATCTCCTAAACCCAAAACAGCAAACCTATAAATAATTTCCCGATTAATAAATAACAATGAAATATATTTAAATAATACTAGAATTTAACAACATTTTCTTACTCAACATTTTTTAAAGAATTAGAAGGTAAATTCTTTCTAAGTAAAAATTTCCAAGTAATTTTCATGTTATCTGGTTGATCACCTTGTCCAGTAGTTGAACAGACAAAAATTATTTTTTTTTCAAAAATCAATTTTTCAATAGGATAGTCATCCATTGCAACAATAGGTCCATTATAATATAACCTAAACATCATAATTACAAAAAAAAAAAAATAGATTGTAAACATATTTTATTTTATTGTATTTTTATTAGAAATATGTTGAATAGGTAGTTTAATTTTTCTAGGTTTTATTACTGGCAGATTTTTAGAAACTTTTAGATTCTGAGCAAAGCAAGGAATGTATTGATGTTTATTATAATTTTACTTTTTTGCAATTTTTTAGTAATTTTGATCAGCTATAACATTTTTCTTAAAGTAAATTTAATTTGGGTAATATTTTAAGGATATAATTTTTTAATTTTCCAATAAATGGGAAAATGTAAACAATACAAATATTATGACTCTTGAACAAAAAAAAAAACAATTTTAAACTAATATTATTAAAGAAAATTTATAATACATATGTAATTATTTTAACTTAATACGACATATATATTGTTAACAAAAAACACTATTATTCGAAAGCTACTCAAAATCATTTTTTGTTAGCAATGGCTTATTAGTGCGTACAGATGTACATTAAATTTCACCTCTAACTTTTCAACTACTCACTTACAACAGTAGCCCATTCACTGTAAGAAGTATCTGCGTTATTTTTTAAAAATAACACAGAATTAATAATTATTAACTTTAAAAGAAATTCACCATTTTGATTCTCTCCAAATCCTTTCAGCTACCTCTTGAGCACATCCAGTTTGACTACCATATAATATAAGAAGGCGCCGTTCTGAATCCATAGTTGAGTAATAAAATACCAATGTTTAAAGATTATTAGCTTACTAATATTTGTTAACAAAAAACTATGGCTATTAGGTCATGATTCAAAATAATTCTTCACCGTTTAAATTATAATTTGTTTTCGATCTTTATCATTATAAAAATATTATCTAATATCTTTCATATCAGTACTCTGCAACGCAGCTGTTATTCTCTAAAGGGCTATTGTAAAGGCAATATTCTACACACCAATCACAGTAAAATGATTATAGATATCTGCAATTCCATTGGACGTCGCTTCTATTTCTTTGATATTATTATCCCGTATTACTGTTCGGAAGGGTGTTCATTTTTTTTTCCTTCCAACACAGTTTACGCTTATTATTCCAATTTTTATTTTTCTTCTAAGTAGTAATCGACTATTAAAATGTCGATTCTTAAAAATGGAATGAAATTATTTATGAACAGGGTAAGTACGAAAATATCATAAACTTGTATGATTATTAAAATCAAACAAATATAAAATATATATTTTTTTCCAGTCAGCTCAAAATTTGCTGGGAAATAAATGTCTTCATACTACATCATTGGTAAGTTTATGGTTTATTTTAATTAGAAAATGTAATTAATTAATTTTTACTCATTTGTAGGACAATGCAAAAACTGTCAGTATCAAATCACCAATTGCTAGGGCATTTGCCTCTGGTGAATCAAATGAAGTAAACTAATACATTTTTTTTATTAACTTATATATTATCACTTACCTATTTTTTTAAAACTACTTCTAGGACAAATTTTCAAACTTGCCAGTTGATCGAATTACATGTACATTAATTCCTGGAGATGGAGTATACCCTGAACTAATGGATTCTGTCAAAACTGTGTTGAAAGCAATTGGAGCGCCTATTGATTTTGAAACCATGTTGTTTTCAGAAGTACAGCATTCTAGCAGCGCAAAAGTGGAAGATGTCATCAAATCAATTAATCGCAATAGAATTTGTTTAATGGTAGTTATAATTATCATTTTATGTGAAAATGTTGTTAATTTAATATAAATTTACTAATTAGGGAGCATTAATGAGTCCTGATGTGAGTTATTCTGGAGAACTACAAAACTTACATATGAAGCTAAGGAAAGGTTTAGATTTGTATTCTAATGTGGTTCATGTAGTTTCATGGCCTGGTGTTGCTTCTAGGCATAAGAATATAGATATTGTAATTATTCGTGAACTTACTGAAGGAGAATATTCAGCCCTTGAACATGAATCCGTTGATGTAAGTTATCTTTTTTTTTTTTATTTCAATATTTATAAATTTAATGTTAAATATTTTTAGGGTGTTGTTGAGTGTTTAAAAATTGTTACTGCTTCAAAATCTCAAAGAATAGCAAAATTCGCTTTTGATTACGCTCTAAGAAATAATCGCCAACGTGTTACATGTGTTCACAAAGCAAACATAATGAAACTTGGTGATGGATTGTTTTTAAAAAGTTGTTCAGAGGTAATGTAGTAAAATGGTTTATATTCAAAATTTAAATGTATATATATATATATATATATATATAGAAGAAAATGTACTCAATTATTAACTGTTTTTTTGTATGAAGATCAAACAACTATATCCCAGCGTAAATTTTGAGGCTATGATAGTTGATAATTGTACTATGCAAATGGTTTCCAATCCTCAACAATTTGATATTCTAGTCATGCCTAATTTGTACGGCAACATATTAGATAACTTGGCAGCTGGATTAGTTGGTGGAGCTGGTGTTGTTGCTAGCTCATCATTCAGCCCTGAATGTGCTGTTTTCGAACCTGTAATTAATTAGTTATATTTTATGATAAAACAAATAGTAACTTTTATTTATAATAATAGGGTGCAAGACATGTATTCCAAACTGCAGTTGGTAAAAATATTGCCAATCCAACTGCTATGCTAATGTGTGCATCTAAAATGTTAAGGCATGTCAACCTTCAACATTATAGTGAATCAATACGAAATGCAATTAGAGAAGTTCTTTCTGCTGGCAAAGTGAGTTATAATATATTTGTATAAGAACAAAAGTATTTTGAATTTTTATTTTATATGTTAGTTTTAAATCTAAAACTAAGAAACTAAGTAGTGATTTTAGTTGTCAAATATTAAATATGTTATTTGAATTAAGATTTTATTCTTATAGCACAAGAACAATCTAAAACAATTTTAAATACATTATTTTAATATTCAATTACCCAAAATTAGAATATAGATTAAAATTAAAATTATTTTATATTTTTAGGTCAGAACTAGAGATTTGGGAGGTTCAAGCAGCACTCATGAATTTACAGATGCAGTAATAAAAGCTATAGTTTAAACTATCAATACTTTATTTTTGCGAGTTGACCTTTCAATTTTCTTTCATATGCAAATACCTTTTATCAGTCATACAGTATTAATGAAATAGTATTTAAAATTCAAAATAAACAATATTTTATTAAATATTTCAGCAAGGATTCCTTTTAATGTTTTAATCTAATTATGCCTTATTTATTTTACTATTTATTACAAAATTTCTAAGTCAACAATGTAATTCAATTTTATATATTAAGTTTATCTTATCAATAATTGAAAATGTAGAAACTAATTTTGTGTTATATAATTTTAAGATGATTTTATAAAAATCTATCTATATGAAATAATTTGTATTTATATATCTACATTTATTTCATTTAATTGTACTTAAAAAAAAAAAAAAAATAATGCATAGACACCTTACATTAAACTTTGGAATATTTAGTTTTATAAATGTGATAATGATCACAATTATAGTCTTATATAATTAGATATTTATTGAATGTTTGTTGTCTGATTTTTATTATAAAAGTTACTAAGAGATTTGTTTAACCAATATTTAACCAATTGTTAATTAGTGTTAATTTTAGTATTAAAGAAATCTTGTTTAATGGGATCAATCTCTTAAAAAATAAATGTTTTCAAAAATACAATGATATTGCTTTCAGAAAAAAAAAGTTTTTAATATTCTTTTTAAGACTGGTATTTTAAGCTTATTTTGAACACTTGAAAATTGATCGATTATTTTTTTGCTTTTGTTTTTAGTTTTTACACATTTGGGGTTTTATTTTAAAATTTTAAATCTATTTACCTAGTTATTGGTGAAAGTAAGTGCTTTCTGAGCAGTCTTATATTAAAGTATATGATAATTTACTGAATATGAAAAATATAAGAAGGTTGTGTAAAATTTTGTTAAACAATGCAAAAGAAAATTAATGAATATGGTCAAGATTTGTACTTCAGACAAGTATTAGCTGGTATCTATTATGCCTTTTGTGCAGTAATATGTTTTAATTACTCTTTAACCATCCCATTAATCATTTTAAATTTTAACAAACATGGTCTATGTCATTCTTTACATTAAGATAAATCCAATAAGTTGAAGGTATATACCAAAATGCATCAACCAACCAAGCTGTTGTTGAAGCCATAGGATTCAAAAAAATTATTGTTGGAGAGTATTAAATAGCTGATGTATTTTGGTCGAAATTATAACCTTAGATCATAATATGATCATTATGATCTAAGAACTAACCAATGAACTAATTTTCACGATTACAACATACTGTAAATCCATAAACTTTACTCTCTTTATACATATAAGGTCTGTATAAATCAAGATTTAAGATTTGCGCTGTAAATGATGGAAATTGACTGATACCACAGTTTTAATCATGGGTTAATAATGGTTATATACCCATAGTGTCAATGATATATTTTATCTATTATACGATGATAAACATAGAAAATTAAAAAATAGACATGGTCGTAAACCGATTTATGTTTATGACACGGTTTTATCTTTAACCGTGGTCTACATAGATTATAAAGAAATTTATATTCACAGTCTGTATCTGTATATCTGATATATCTATGAATTGATAGTCTTTATTAACTTTTATTAGACCGTGCAATGTATATCTGTGGTTATTATCTATGTTATGAACTATGTACTAACTTCAAATGAAGAAGCGAAACTACCTATTTTAAGATCAGAATTTGAGCTGGTGCTTCATTACTTGAAACAAAATAAAGCAGCTGGGGCTGATAATATAACAGCAGAGTTATTGCAATTTTCTAGCATGATGATAAAGAACGCATTATATCGACTCAGGATATATATGAGAAAGGGGAGGTACCGGATGATTACTGTAAAAGCATAATTGTAACTATACCAAAGAAAAGAGGAGCAAATTCCTGTGAACAGTTTAGAACAGAGTTTAGTGACATATGTCTTAAAAATCTTAACAAAAAAAATAAATCGAAGAATAAAAGGAAAAGTGGAACAGTACTTAAAAAATGATGGATATGGGTTTAGAAAAAAAAAAGTATATAAGAAGCAATTTTAAGATTATGAGTGCTAATTGAAAAACAAATTGATAGGAAGAAAGTAACATATTTGGCCTTCATAGACCTGGAAAAGGCCTTCGATAAAGTAAATTGGAATAAAATGGTGCTTACACTTCGAAAAATAGGTTTTGAACAACATGACCTAAGAATGATCCACAGTATTTACAAAAATCAGACAGCTTGCATTAAAAAAGTAGGAATCACTGCTAATGCTCAAATAAGAAAAGGTGTTCGACAAGTGTGTACGTTATTACCCCCACTTTTTAACTCCTACATCGAGAAAAGTTTTATAGTGAAAGTAAAGCTAACAAGACTAAATATTGGAATCAAAATTGGTGGAGAAATTGTTTTAATGATACGTTTTGCAAATAATATTGTGATGATAGCAGAGAGTGAGGTGACATACAGTATGTAGTTGATGAATTAAATGCTCAGAACATCGGAAATGAAAATGAACAGTGAAAAAACGAAGATCTTGGTCTGCGCCAAAGACCAGAACATAAAAGGCTGATGTATACTCGACATAGATAATCAAAAACTAGAGCAAGTAGAGGAAATAGTATACCTAGGGAGCAAATTCATATCTGATGGTAAGAGCGTCCGAAAGATAAAACAACATAACATTAGCAAAAACTGCCTTTATAAATTGTTGATTTCAATAAAGCTACATCTTAATATCAAGAAGACTTATTAAAACATATGTATGGAGTGTTGCAATACATGAATTTGAAACATGGGTAATAACTAATACCGAAAAGAAAACACTAAAAGACTTTGAGATGTGGTATTGGAGGCGTATAGAAAAGATAAGTTGGATAGAACGAAAAGCAAATGAAGAAGTACTTAGAATTGTGGGAGAAAAATGTACACTCATAGATGTGATTAAAGCAAGGTGTTGGAAAATAGTTGAACATGCCCTGAGACACTAAGAATAGTTGTATCATATTAGAGGGTATGATAGAAGGAAAGAAAACTACAGGACGTCCTCGAAACTCTTATATAGGACAAATTAAATGGGATGCAACAGTCGAATCTTTTAAGGAACTCAAAGAAACGGCGAGTAATCAATCAGAGTTGTAAACTTGTAGACCAAACTTAGGGTTGAAAAAAAAATCTAAATACTCTAATGCAGCAGTAGTGATAAGGGATATCAGTATTTATCTTTTTAGTCAAACAATGATGATAATATTGCTGTTCAAGATTAATGAATTTTTTAGTAAAATATTTTAATACAAATTTGAAAATAATTAAAATTAAAATTTTCTGTTTTTATCTATTTATACAGGTACTTATGTTACATAAATCATAGTTGAATATCTACTTTCAACTAATATTTTATGTATTAGTTTTACAACCGAACAATGCCTCATATGCAACACATTGATGAGCTTATACGAGAATATTTGTTATTCCGAGGTTTTACCAATGCATTAAAATGGTTTGATTTTGATGTAAAACTTGACAAAGATAAAGGATTTAGAGTAAGTGTTATTATTATATTTATGTATTTGATTATATTTAAAATAAGGTAGTGGTCTAATATATTGTGATCTAATATAATTTACTAAAATGTAAAAATGAATTGAATGTTAATAAACATACATTAATACATAATATTAAAGTCTCTTCAAAATGTATAGTTTAAAATATAAATAATACTAATTTCGCTCATTATAGGTCGATAAATTAGTTGATCAAATACTGCAGTTAGTATATTCCTATGATTTGTCTACAATTAAAGAACTCTGGTCACATTTTGAAAACAAATTATTTTCTAAATTAGATCAAGACATATCTTATGGTTTGTTATATACCTAAAATACAATTAATTAATCAAATTTACAATGAAAAAAATTGATTTTAGCTGTTAAAAAATTGGAAAATAGTTTATTCAAATTTTACCTTATTCACGCATTAACCAATAATCGTTCAGACAAAGTAAATGAGTTCTTAACAAAAATGACAAATGATTTACAAATGCAAAATGAATGGAAGGATTGGTTTAGTAAGATAACATTATTTAAAATTTATATTAATGACTTTATTTTAATTATTTTATTTTTTAAGTGTTGCCATATTTAAAAAATATTGAAGATAACCCATTGTTTGCTATTTACTTTACCAAACAATGGCAAGATTCATTTTTCATATCCCTACATAATTTTCTATCAATTGTTTATCAAGTAAGTTCATCATTTTTATCATATTACCTTTATTTATTAGTTGTTATTTTAAATGTTTAGAGTTATTTTAATTAACTTTTCTATTGCTTAAAACAGTTACATAATATTGAAATTTCATGAATATTTCTTATTCATTGGTTAAATGTTTAATTGTTGTACTTAAATATCATAATAAATTATAGACATGAACCTACTTTACTTATGATATATGAAGTATAATATTAAATTATATATATTAAAACTATTTACAAATTTATAAATAATTGTATAATATTTAAATATTCAATAATCAACTAAGTATTTTAAACTATTAAACTATTTGGTTTTTGAGTAAACAAAATCATATTTTTTTTTCAGTTGTTTTTACTCATAGTAGTAATATCATGCAATTTTAGAACAATTTATGTCATATGTTAATATATAATATAATATTATTAATTTATTAAATAAGGTTTTATCAAGTTTATGACAAAATGCACCCATTTTATAATTTTATTTATTCTAGCTAACTATAACTTAATTTGAAAAAATGTTAACTATCACATAACTTAACATTTTTGATAGAGGAAACTTTACTCTATTCATTATATTTATGTACAAAATATATCTTAAAAATATAAAATTTTGAAAATATAAATAGTGAATTAGACAGAATAATAGAACAGAGAATGAGTGTAGCAGATGAAAATACTATAAGTGGAATGATTAGAGAAGATAGGATAAGGGATAATAATGTAAAAGAAACCGTAAATGTGGCTTCGATTGTAGACAAAATGAAAAAAAAAAAACACTATTTTGTTCATATCACCAAGAGAGAGAAATTAGAAGCTGTGAAAATTGTAATGAACATAAACGTAGAAGGAAAGCGAGGGAAGGGGTAGACCAAAAAGAAGATGGTTGGATGCAATTGAGAATGATTCAAGGACGGTTGGTGTATGTGAGAAGATGTTGGGGATTGGGTCAAGTGGTAGTTTAAAACAAGGGTGGCCGACCTTAAATTATTGGTATGAAGTCAAAGGAGAAGAAGATTCATTATTAGTATAGTATTAGTATTATTTACTCTTATTATGCAAATATTATTTATTTTGAATACACAATTAATAATAATTAGTTGTTTTTTATTTATTTAGATTATTCCACGTCCTAGTTTATGTAATTACGAAGATGACGCAAACAAAATCCGGAGACTTCAAGATGAAATTGATACCCTTAAACAAAAACTTACTGACGGAGTTACTCAACCAAAATATAACACAGTCAGTGGATCATTCCAGACTCCACCTCTAGATATTATTGATGATTTCTACACAGTTTCTCAGTAATAAAATTGTATATTTAGTTAATAATATTTAATTTATTAAAATATTATGTGATTTTCAGGGAAACAATAAAAAATACTAACACTGATGCATCTATAAAATCCTTGAGATCACTAATTAGAACTATTGGAGGATTGCCTACTAGTCCTATACTTGGTAAACAAGTGAATACAAAACGTATATATCAACCCAATCCCACTACAGGTAATTTAATTAAAATTTCATTTACTTATTAAGTATTATTAATCATATTTTGTGTTTTATTAAAGAATAATTAATTTAATTTCAGATATGGTTTACAAGAAACACGTTGCTACTAATTCAAAACTCAGTACAAGTTTATCAACTTCTCCTTCGTCTTACCTTATGATAAAACCTGGAAGTACAGGGTGAGAATATTTAATTTTCTAAACAAATTAATATAGGCTCATTATAAATAAAAACCAATTATAGGAATATAATATTTAAATTTTAGAACAGTAAGATTAGCTTTAATTACTAGCTAATATTAAAATTATAAATTTATTAGTGAAGGTAGCCGTAGAACAGTATCAAAACGATCAATATCTTTAGAACGTGATTCCACCCGAAGTAGAGGTCCTCGAGATGCGAGTTTAGATAATTTAGACAAAAGACAACATAAAGTTCCTCCTTTTCTCTTGCTTAGCCAGGTTAAATATTATAAGTAATTTTATGAATGATTATTTATACACTTTAAAAAATAATTAAATTATTACTAGGAATCCTTTAATGAACATAAGACAAAGATTACTCAATGCTGGTTCAACTTGTCTGGTTCACTTATAGCAAGTACAGATACTGATGGGTTTTTGAAGATTTGGTCAGCTGCTCCATCACCTAAGTACTTTAACATGAATAAAATAATATTTAGTTTTGATTACTATCATTTTACTAATTTCTGCTTTCTAGAGTGATAGGATCAACTAATTTGAAAAAAGTTGTATATAGTTTGGATTGGTTCAAGACTAATGATCGTTATGCATTGCTGGGATGTGACGATTGTTCGATAATTTTATATGATGCTAAAGAAATGAAAATTTCTTGGGAACTGAATCCGTTTAAACAATCAACAAATTTAAAAATACAATGTGTTAAATGTGGACCATCCGATTCTACATTTGTTTGTTCTCTTGTTTCTAAAGATAGCAATAAACTACTTTTATATGATATCAAAACAAAAAAAATTGAAGTATAACCATTGATTCTACTAATTATTTTAATTTACAAGAACTATTCAATAAATAATAAATAAAATATAATTCTATAGAGACAACTTATATTGGGAAATGATGATGTAGCTGTTACATGTTGTGCTTATAATCATAATGGTCAACTATTGTACGCGGGATGTGCTGATGGTTCAGTACGTACAGTTGACCTTAGACATAGTGAAATTGTTGATCGTTGGACACCCCATACTGATCGCTTAATGTGTCTTCAATTGTCTCCTGATCATAATGATTGTTACACATTGGGAGCAGATAATAAAGTAATTTAATTTCATCATTAATGTTATGTTATTGTATTTCCATAGTAAATACAAATTTATTTGGTCCTAAGATTTGTCGTACTAGTATGAATGGTAATAAACAGTCATGTGTGTGGGAAGTAAATGTTAAAAAAGATAATCCACTTCAACCCAATGCATACATGAGTCAAGCATTTACGTTAGATCAGTCTGGTAGTTACATGCTTCTCTGCTATAGTCAAAATAATGGAGGAAATATATTCAAGGTAATAAAGTATAGCTATATTTATGGTATGGATAAGGTATTGTTAATACATTAGTTTTGATTAATATCAATTGGAATACTTTTACTATTTGAATAATACAAAAAAAATAAAACAAAAAACGTCCTAGGATAATTGTTACGGGTGCAGCCACTGTTATAGGTAATTTAATGCATACCTGTAAGCCACAATAAACCATTGCTTACGAAAAAAAAAAAAAGATTCTGAAAGGAGTTCAGTTGATAGTGATGCTTTGTCAACTATATAAATGTAATTTTATAGCAAAATAATTAAATAGTCTATATATTTTCTTTAATAATATTTGTTTCAAGTTGTATTGATTTTCCCATGTTTTTCACATTTACTGGGAAAATCGAAAAATGACCTCTTTAAAGTACCTCCCTATTAAAATTTCCCTTTAGAAACATTGCTATTATTAAAATTTGGAGCAAAATTGTTGGTAAAAAAATTGTCCACAGAAATTAAAATCGTAATTTATATTTATTATTTTTTCGTACATTTCCTGTTTTTTTTTTTTGGTTTTTTGCATTTGTTGAGAAAATCGAGAAATGACCTCCCAAGTACCTCCCCACACTGATTTCCTTTCAGAAAAGGTGCTACATGTAGAAATCCGAGTAAGTCTTCTGATAGAAAAATTGCGCACAGTTAAAAAAAAAAAGGTATCTTTGTAAAACTATAAGCTTCTGCGCTTCACTCATAGTCTAAAATAAATCACCTTTTAAGATAATTTTGAAAATAATTAATAAAAATTTGAGAAAACAAACAATATTTGACTTACATTCAAATTATTTTATTTTAACACTACTGAATATTAAAGTAGTACTGTTATTCAAAATATTTAATTATAATTTAATATAATTATTTATTACTGCACATTAACTATTGTAGCAAGCTGGATTATAAAATTATCTCTAACATAACTGATTAATGCTGATACTTAATTTAAAAATAACATTTTACATTAATCATACAAAAGTTGAAATGAAAAATTCAGACATGAACCAATACCTTTAAATACTTTTATAATAACGCAGTATTTAGACATTCATTATCCATAATGTTTATATATGCAGTGTGTTTTGAGAAAATAATTTTTATATTATGTATAATTTTTGATATAGATAACAAGTACGGGATTAAATGTTGTTTTGTCACTGAAAGAACACCAAAGCATTCCGATTGTTTGTGATTGGTCATCTCTAAATCAATGTGGCACTTGTGTTACTGGTTCAGATGATGGTACATTGTGTATGTCTACACTTTTAACTCCGTAATTCAAATTAAATTTGCACAAGTAAATGTTCACTAAAATATTATAATGTAAAAAGTACCTCAATATTAATATTTCTTTCAAGAGTTAAAAATAATTGCAATTTAATTTACAGTAATAATTATAATTTGTACAATAAAAATATAATACATTAATCAATAACCATATTTGTCATTTAAACTAGTTCTTCCATCTCCAGTTTGATCAGCTGGTGGTTTCCAAATCATGTTTCCAAAATCTTCTGATAAGTCTTTTTCCAGAATTTTAGAAATTATCTAAATAAATAATTAATTAAATGAATTATTTACCAATATAATAATTTGTATTATATACAAATACTAAGTTATTAAAATATACACACCTTTTTATCTTTTTTCTCTAACTGTTTTTGCCTCTTTTCCACATCTTTTAATTCTTTTATCACTTTGTCTGAAAAGAACATGTTCACAATATTTATTACTATATTTTCACATAACACAAATTCCAAGTGTATATCACTGAGATATTTTTAAATTAGCCAAGTAGTATGAACTAAAAATCATAAGTGTCTTATATTTAAGAAAAATCATACTGTAGTGTAGTGAAAGAAACTAAATATAATGAGAGTTATCTGTATATTGCATAAACAATGAAAACATCGTTCTGTATAATTTATGTTTTTTAATAATAATTTTAACTAGAATTTCCCTTCTTCTAATAGTTAAAAGTGCAATGTTTGATTATACCGGAAGCCATTCCAGAAAAATTGACTTTGACACCCCACTAATTAATTGCATAACACTATTTAATAATACATCATGCTGGCTATTAAGCCACACAGGTGAGCAATATTCAGCTGCAGAGGAGGTAAGTAGTGGAATGTCATTTATGTGGCGGTACAGCGCGCAGCATGTTATTAATGCATCACTACTCTCCTCTAACCAAAACATAAAAGTGGAATATCTCGTCAACAGATCAATGGAAATCAATAATGTTCACACTAAAATCTGTTTTCATAATACTTCATTTATGTATGGACTTTTTAATATAGGTTGCCATTTGAAAATCAAAAGTAGGTAGTGGCTTTAACCCCAAAAATAAGGGTGATAAAAAATGACATAAATATAAAATTGTAGAGCAGCTTGTTTCCAAAAAAATTCTAGAAAACAAATTCCCGAAAAAGTTAATACATTCCAAGATAATGAGTGTACCCACTTAAATGAATCACCGGTACTAGTGATATAAGTCTAAAAGTATAGCCGTCCGCTCTCCATTCTGTACCAGTTAATTTCCGTAATTAATTTACTCTTGATCTTAACTTTTTCTATGAGTTCCTTAACAGAAAGGTAACTCCTAGGAATGTAGGTGAAAAATTGTGTTTTACAGAGACACCATTAAATTGTAGTTGTAGTTCTTGCTTAGCTTGTTTATTGTAGAGATGGAAAGCAAAAACTTCCATTTTTAACAGGGTTTGGATTTAGCCTCTATTTATACAAATATTCTTTCATTATAATCAAGTCATCAGTTAGTACTTTCTTTTGTTTTATCTCAATGTCTTTGTTTTAGCATACCATGTTGTATCATATGCACATTGAAACTTAAGCTAATTACTGTACTGGGTAGAATGATAAAATAACTTTGGAACAATCACCGAGTCTTGAAATTACCACATTATTAATTATTCATTATTCTCTACTTGCTCTACTCTTCTAATCACACTATTATCTTTGTACTGTAACCACTTATTGTCTTAATTGATTTTGCTCTTTTGCTCTAACTTATACTCTATGTACATATTCTGTTTTACTTTTATTTAATCCCTTTTCTTCAAGTACTACTCTCCATTTCTATATCCTACTTCTTCCGGATTTTCTCCTATTAAAATTATAATATTATCTGCAAATAACATAAACTATATTAATTTTCCTACTATTTCCTATATAACTTCATACATTATAACAGAAAACAGATATGGGCTCAAAGCAAATCCCAACAAAAATCTCTCATTATTCTACACATACTTTTGACAATCATATTTTAACTCTTTTTGCCCTTGATCAATTTACAATTTCAAAATATACATGCAATTTAAAATTATAACCTATCCAAACGTTTTCTTACAATTCTGGTTTAAACTTTACATGATTGTAACTTATATCTGACATCAGTGTTGTGCATATCAAAATGTCTAGAAAAATATTTCTCTATTCGAATTTATGTTCAAAAAGGATTCCTACTAAAAATAAAAATACATGGTACTTATCTAAGGTGTACGGAGTAAGTGTAAAACATTAAAAATGGTTTTAAAATAAAGCTTAAATGATTCTGTAATGACAAAAAAAAAAAAACTCACTTAATACCCTTTGAGAAAATTGCCGGTTCATAATAAAAACCACTGTATAAGTACTACAAAACTATATTTTCACTCATTTCGCTTTTTTTCACCAACTAGCATTTTATTTAAAAATTTAATATTGTTCTATGCAATGTAATTTTTGCTATGTTGCTCATTAGTTAGGCAGAGACATTACCTGTATGCATAATCTTAATACTAGTTTTATAAATATTGATAGTAAAAATAATATTATAAAATATGAAATTATGGCATAAATTTTAAAACAATTTTCATTATTTAAAAATATTCATAATAATTTATACATCAAGGTAAGCACATATTAGTTTCTTACGGATTCTTTTCTTTTACATAAATTTATAAGAGGCTAAAAGTAAGAAAAGTTATTATTGAGAAATAGTGAGAATAGTGAAGGAATTGTAGCTCTGTAAAATATTTGTGTTATCCTTATTAATATTATTTATATGTTCATAGGATTAATAGTTAAATTGTATTACCTTCTGTTTTTTGTTCTTTGCGGTTGATTTCTTTAACTTTAACAGTGTTAGACAAAATTATTTTATCGTTTTTTTCTCCTTCAATTTGCATTTCAGGTTTAATAGCTGTTTGACTAATATTACTTATGTTTGGGTTTATTTTATGCACTTGTTCTACTTTAGTTATATTTTCATCGACTTGAGGTTTTATAAGTTCTGGTAAAGTAGTTGGTCGTACAATATTTATTATTTTTCTTAATTTTTCTTCTTCTTCTAGTAGTTCATTCATTTTAATCTGTAAATTAATATGTTGTACTTATGAATTCTAATTATGACCAATATCTTACTTTTAATCTTTTGATTTCAATTTTATCCACAGTTTTATAATTTCTAAGATCAGACATATATGATTCTAAAGAGTCTTCATCTTTACTTTCATCATACTCTTTGGTAAAATTTTTATTTAATCTGTTTAATTTAATCTTAATATGTTTAAGATCAGCTATAAGAATTTTATGTTTTTCCATCTAAAAATATCAAATTAATATGTTAATTTTATAATTTAACTTAAATAAGAATATTTGAAGTCATAATCAATTTTTTTAAAGTGCATACCAATGTTTCATAAGTATCCACAGTTTCAGCCCCTTTCCCAAACTTTTTCATTCTTTTTTTACGTTTAGCATCAATATCTCCTGTTCGGTCTAGAAAATTATCTTCATCACTGTCATAAAAGTCTTCCTCTTCCCAATTTTTTTCTTTACGTTTTCTACTTTCTAAAGAAAAATATTTATCTAATTATATTTGATAATATAAAAAAATATATATAAATAAAATTAGATTCACCGTGAGTAGATTGTCTTAAAAGTCCATACATATCCAAAATTTTACATGCTTCCAACGCACAATGTACAATAGCTTCTTTTTTTTTCCCACTTATTGTAGCTTCAACCATTTGTGGTCTTCCAGTAATGTTTGCTATTGGTAATCTAAAATAATCATACAACCAATTATTAATGTATTTAACAAAATTAAATTCCTTACTCGATACGACAAGAAAATGTCCCAAAACCCTTTTCTGATACATCATACACTAATTCTTGTCCTTCTCTTTCAAACCATCCTTTTAAAGTCTTTTTAGGATCGTCCAAGTATAGTTGCTCATTTTCTTTTGGAGCAAAAGGATTTTCTTTAGTATCTTCTTCATCAACTGCATCTTCTCCTATAATGTAAATAATTATAACAAAAAAATAAATATATTTAACTTTTTATTTAAATGAAACTATTATTCTTTGAATATTATATGTTTATACTACCTAAAGAACCCTTATAACCTAAAGAAATCAATGTTTTAAAAATGATGGTGTCAAAAAAATTGTTGTGCTGATTATCAGATTTTTAGTTTTAACAATCTGACATTTGAGTTTTTCTATAGTTTAGTTTAAAATAATTTGGTATATTTAATGTCAATACATTTTAATTGTGGCACAGTGGTTGTAACCTGAGCTAGCAACATAGAGGTCCACATTTGATATCCAATAGTAGCCAAATTTATTTTATAATTTTAAATTATTAATTTTGAAATAATGGTCTCTAGGTGGAACCAAAATGTATTTGTTTTTACATTGTGACTGCTTAAGGTTTTACAGAGCAAATTGAAGAATATTTTTATTTAAAAAGTCCAGGCGAGCAGAAAACAAATGAACAATCAGTAAGATAGTGTCGTTAAACCTAAACGGGTTTGGGGAAAGAGTTGTTCAAATTACCTAAGACTTAAAAAAATATATATAAAAAAAAAAAAAAACAATTTTCTTGCAGTTTTAACTTAAAAATTAATTTTCATCTGTAATTAAAAAAAAACAATTATAATTTTTATATTAAATTACACATATTCATTAAAAATATTGAGTTAATTTTGTATAAATACTAGTTCTTATATTATGCTCCCATTTTTACTAAGTTTACAATTGTAATTAATTATATCCAAACAATGATGTACAATCAACAATGTTGATTTACCTAGGTATATAAAAAAAATTACAAAATTGTTGGTAGCTACAGTGCAATTATTCCCTTTTTATTTTAACTAAATGATGCTTACATCATAAATATTATTAATAATTTAAAATCAAATAAATAATAAATACAAACCCATTCCCCAGTCTACACCCTGTTCCATTTTTTGTCTTTCTTCTTCTTCCATTTTTAATCTTTGTAAATCTAGTTCTCTTTTTCTTTGTTCAAGTTCTGCTAGTCGTTTAGTTTTTAATTCAGTAACAGTTAATTCAGATTCGATTTCTTCATCACCTGGTGGTCCTTGTAATAAATACATTCTAGTACTACCACCAAAACTAATCAAATGTCCCACCTGAAAACAATTCAATTTACTTATATATTTAAAAATAACACTAAAAAATACATACATGGACTTTTATATATGTTTTAGGTTTAATTCTTAACCGATTTAAAAATGTTCCATGGGTACTATCTAAATCATACAAATAAAACCCTCTATTTTCATCACTGGTAGAAAATGTTGATCGATATTGAAGAATTGCATGAAATCGTGAAATTGTTGGATGTGCCATAGTAATATGACAATTACTTAGGCGACCGAAGCAATGAAATGAGCGATTTTCTAATTGTATTGTACTTAATATCACACCAGACTTTAACTCCTAGAAATTAAGAAAAAAAATTATTATTTTTAAAACTCAAATGGTTTTATTACTCCAAAACTGATCGCGAACCTCTAAAAAATATTTGTCTCCAGGTTTACCTCCCCAAGACGGTTCTTCATATGGAATAGGAACAAGGGAAGTTTTCTTAAGGTTTATTTTTGATTGTTCAATATTTCCTTCAACATAATCTTTTAAATCTTCTTTTGCGGTTTTTGTTGCAGGAACATCACTATTAGTAAGATTTTCTGTGTCTACAATTTTTGTTGGTTTTTTTGTGCCTGCTTTAGGACCGAATAACAATTTAGGTACTTTAAATACGGATTCCTCTTTATCAATTTCCATGACTGAAAAAAAAATAAAATCGTATTCTGTTTTTTACAACAAACTTATTACCAACGAATATAAATGCAACTGAACATAGTAATATAGTATTATTATTATAAATATTATTATCTACGATTCAACAATATTGATAAGAACTAAGAAGTAAACATGTTTTCATGATCACATGATTTTATCCACCTTTTATAATAATAATACGTATTATTATATATCTTGGGTGAAAACACTGTGCTCGCTTGTCATTGGTTGACGTTTTTGGTGTCCATAGATCCATACTCCATTACTCCATTGTCTTGTATTGTGCTTTTGTGTTATTTAAATATTTTATTTTCTGCATGTTTCATAATTATTATAATTATATGTGTGTTTTTCATTAATTATTTACTTTTCGTATGAGTATTCACGACTATCACTATCTTGTTCATCGAAGAACTATAATTGATTACGTTAAATTTGTTTGAGTTGAACGAAAAACATCTGTGAGTTCCGTACGTTTCCATTTAGATTTGATGTTCAATGTTATTTTTTGAGTAATGAAAGATAAAGAAACTGCACCAGGAGATGGTATTAGATCCCTAAAAACATCCAGAGTGTTTAGAATCATAAATTTTGAACTGTATTCAAAACCGGTAATAAATTTCTTGCTTTCAATTAATTATTTATATTTTTAAATCATGGTGATTAAAAATACATGACGCCATTACTTTGTCACGGCGTCACAATGACTGGATGATATACTGTGGTAACGACATGCAGTCACTAACGATTAATGTTTATAATAATAACTATACATAATCCATTAGCTATAAAAGAGACCAGAATTTTTTTACCAAATAGCTAAAAATATTGGTCACAAGGCACCTTTAAAAGTAACAGTGACCTTTAAGTTGCTGTCACCATTGTCACAATGACATATTTTTGTCATTGGTTCGCATTACTATTTTTACTATTTTTAAACACTGAAAATTGTCTGGTCAATATTTGGTCATTTCCCCCCTCCACTCCACCCCATTTATAAATTTAAACAGACTACCCTCAATTGTTTTCCAAGTTAAAATTATATTTCATTGCAATAGTGAAATTGAGATATAGTTTAGTCTTTTGATAAAGATAAAAATAAACAATAAGTTACAGGTGGTAGTTTGTGTCAAATTTATTTATCAACTCGCAAGTTATAAATGCATTGTGGATCACAATTTGTTTTTGTTCGTCTCATTGCTCTGTGATATATTACAGCTTTATACACTAATTTATAATTTGACATTGCAGTCTTTAACTGTGTTTTAAATTTTAGTTTTTGAAAATATGAACTTCCATAGGTACTAGTTACGAGAATGTCTACATTGTGGCTTGAGTATAGTATAAGGATACAAATTTTCTATAATAATGAAATAATATTATTATAATTTACTGCTGGAAAAGACTGAAGAAAATTGTTCGAGATTTATCTGTTTACATACAAATATAAATATATTTAATCTATGGTACCTATATCTAATGAGTCATTAGTCATTAGTAATGACTATTACTTCTTGGCGCATACAATATAAAATCATTTTTTCGTCAAATAATTATTAAATGTTAAATTGTTGTAGTCAGAACTATTTAAAATTATTTGGTTAAAATCCAATGTAAACAAATATTATTGAAGTATTATGATGTTTAGAATAGTTGTATGACGTCATTGAGCCAGTCTTGCTATAATTGAATATCTTAGCATGAAAAAATTGCTCACTTTACACAATGATTAACCAACATAAATTTTTTATTTTTGATAGTTGATTTGAGTAAAATGTGTGATCGAAGTATCAGAATTTGATCACACTCTTGTAGTCGCGATGCCATGTCGTGTGTTGCGAGATGTATGTAACAAAAATTATTTTTATAATATTTAAAATTTTTAAAAACAACTGGCCATTGGAAAAATTCTAGTTTCACAGACGTCTTCAGTGTATAAAAACACAATACATATATACAAAAAAAACTTCAAAAATAGTTAAATAAATGTGTGAAGCGAGCAAGTTTTACACGTATAATGTAGACAATTACAGCCAGTCTGGCCCAATTATGTCGCACATCTTTTTTATAACTCATTAAATATTGTGAGTAAAGACTATACCATTTTGCTTAGAGTTAGAAATTCTTTCAAATTAAAAAAAAAAACTTGGTTTTGTGTTTTGTGCTATTTTAAACATATATTCATATATTTTTTACAACCAATTTTTTGAAATTGGTATTGTAGTTAGAACTACTACTTACTATATAGGTACTTAGATAACTAATTAATTGAATTTTATGTAAATGAAGTAGTTAAGTAACTGAAAAAAATTGACTTTGTTTCTTAATTATGTGTATAGTAATATTCAGTTATATGCTAACAAATTTAAATGCTGAAGGTTGAAACTGGAATCCAATTGGTACGATTTGTGGCCACAAGATAAAGTGGCAGTTAGATTTTAATAGTGTTTATAAAGAAAAGCACTAAAAAATAATTGTCATTTATAATACAAATTGTATTATTTTGTTAATATTTTAAATTGACATTGATTTGATAATAATGAACATTTAAAGAAAAATCATTTTATTAATGTAATAAGCAATTGTTAAATATTATAAACAAAATGAAGTAAAGAAATAAAAATGATTTTTTTTTTAATAACTTTTATCTAATATTTGTATGGATTTTTTTTTGTCTGTCTACTCTTTATACACATATATTTGTATGAAATAAAATAAATAATTTTTAAAATAAGTAACAAATAATTTATATACCTACCTCCCTAATGTTGATATTAATTAAAATAATTTGTATTTTTTCAGAATAAAGTAATCATGGCATTGGGCCTTGTATCAGTATCATTTACATTTGGATATTTAGTTTATATGAGACATCAATATGAAAAAATGGGATACTATCCAGCTGTTGCTGAAGATGGCCTCCATGAAGTATACAAGCAAAAACAATCCAAATGGGATTAAAATTTTGTTGTTATAATTCATTTTAATATTCACAATACCTATATCTACCAACACTTGAATATTACATTACATCATCTTACATTTTAAAATGGAAGCTTGTCAAGCCGTTGAGGCTGAAATTGAAAAGCTATTAGCCAAATATAATAAATTTGGACCAAAATGGCAATATCAATTGCAAAGATTTATTTCAACACTAGAACGATATAAAAGAGAAATTGACAGTAACAGTGGTGAAATAGACAAATGTGCAATATCATCTACAATTTTACAAATGAAACTTGCTGTTAAAGACATATCTAATGAACATCGTCGATGGCATAGTGATGTTTCAAGAATAGGGAAGACTATTGACAAAAATTTTGTTGCCGATTATACAGAAGCCAGTAATAAAAAAGTGTTTAAAACTGATCAAGAAAAAGAATTACTCAATAAAATAATTTGTATGCATTTATTTAGAGATTCTAAATGGGAAGTTGCTGAAGAATTTTTGAAAGAGACTGGTATCTCAGTTGATGATGAACAAAAACAACGTTATTTAAATTTAAATCACATTGTTGATAGTTTAAAACGCCAGGATCCAACACCAGCTTTTGAATGGGTTCAGCAGAATAAGGCCCAATTGGATGCCAAAAAGTCAGATTTGGAATTTAAATTGCATCAAATTGTCTTTTTAGATATTCTTAGTCGTGATCAGTATGAAGCAGTTGTTTATGCTCGTGCACACTTTAATCGTTTTGTTGAAAAACATGGAGATATCCAATCTACAATGGGTATGATATTATTTCCTCCTAATCTCGCAAAAATGCGTTCTGACGTTATAGACTTGTTTATAAAAGATTCTTGTCTTGGAGATGATGATTTGTTGAGTGTATGTGTAAATGTTGGTTGTTCAGCATTACCAGCTTTATTGGATATTAAACAAGCAATTTGTCGAGATGTTGGAGGAGTTTGGAATGAAAATGATGAACTACCAATCAAAATAGATACAGGTTTCGCATATCATTCAGTATTTGCTTGTCCAATATTACGAACAAGGTGTGGTTCATCCAACCCACCTATGATGTTGGTATGTGGTCATGTTATATCAAAAGATGCACTAAATAAATTGGAACGATCTGGTAGATTGAAATGCCCATATTGTCCTAAAGAACAACTTCCATCAGAGGCTAGACAAATACATTTTTAATGAAATATTGACTCTAGTACTTAGTATATATTAGGTACTCTAATTATAATATAATTTAATCACTTCATAGGAAGTTATAGCATAGCTTAATCATCTAATTTGATATGAAACTTTCTACAATAATTTAGTTTGGCGAATAAGCCTTTTACTTAGTATAAATATTGTACCGACTATTATGGTAATTTGTGTTGAATTAAAATTAAAATTTTCCAATTATAAATCATAATTTATTAGTATTAACAATTTCATTAAAAAGCATAAATATTAATTGATAATTGTTTATAAGGAGTTATGAAATTAAAATTAAATTACTTATTACTCTTTAAATAGTATATTTCTAGAATTTAAATTATAATTATATTAAAATATGATTTTAGAGGTTACTATCAATGTTTATTCAATATAAAAATTTAAAATATATTTAAGTTTTTGGTTTATATACATAATACATAAGTAAGATTTATTTATCTTATTTATAGAATCATATTAAATATGTTATGTAGTATTTTAGTTTTATATTTTTGGTTGACATCACCTAAATTAAAATGCTTTAACAAATATAATGCTTTAGATTTACTGTGCTTGTCTTATATAGTTATGGTCTTTTATTTTGTCTATCAATTAAATATACTTTTCTGTATCGGTATAATTAGAAGTTTTATCTAATAAATAAAAATTAATGTTCAATTCTTCAATATATCATTGATTTTTTTTTTTTCATTTTGTAAATTGTACATATCAAAAACTATTGATTCTGATAATCAAAAAAATATGGAAAAAAAAACTTTTTCTGGAGTATTATTATAGATTATTTGTATTTACTACAGGTTTTCGATTTAAACAATCAACACTATGGATCATTGCAAGAATGACTATTAATATTACTAATCATATATTATTAACAGAAAAATAATTCTAAAAGGTACATGATTTTTAATTTCAAATTATATTAAAATTATATTATTTTTATATAATGTTTACAGTAGTTAAATAGTTAAATAGTAGATGTAAACATGATGACATTTCTGTAATTATTCCACTTGGTTATCTAAAGTTAAATATTGAATATTTACCAGTTAAATTTAAAAATATAAACATTCTAATTTGATCTGTAATATGATTCTGTGTTCCGGAGTATCTATATTTCCTTAAGAGCTTATAGGCTTATAGCTTGAGGTCTCGTAAATCTTTTCTTAGGTAATTTTTTTTTTTTTGTTTTTATTTGACAAACAATATATAAAAATTGGCACAATAAGTTTATATGATGAATGTACTATAACATACATTTTTAAATAAACCAGCCACCCATTAGTGGCTCTTGGTAAGTTAATTACATTGATTTTTTATTTATAAGACAACAAGTTATTTTGCAAGAAGTCTCGACACCACTTCCTTTTTAGCCTACAATTAGCATATCCTGAGAGTGTGAAGATGGAGAGATTTTTTATGAGAGGAGTAGGATAAGCTTGGAGTCGATTATAGAAGTGTTTGTAGAAGATACGTACTTCCTCATCTACTGTTCGCATATGAAGGTCATTATAGAAAGTCACATTAGATATATATATATATGGTGGAGTTTTGGAATGCTTGTATTTTGTATTGTGTTCGATTTTTTCACTGCACTCACTGCAAGTTGAAGTACATATGTCCATATCAGTTTAAGTAGAGATTTCTAAATTAAGAGTTTGATATTAAGGGTAGAACTTTTATTCCCAATTAAAAGAGATCTAAACAGGTGCATACAAGCATTTACCGATAATTTTTTATTCAAATGTGTTTATTTCAACTCAATCTTTTCTAGGATTAATCGCAAGTATTTGGCTGTGTCGGATGTGGAAATTTGTTCGTTATTTAGAATAATATTAGGGCATACTACCTGTTTTAAGAGTGAATGCTGTACGTAGAGATTTGTTTTTGCTTATTTTAACTCATCATTTTTTATACCATGCAGACAAGTAGTTAAAATGCATTTGTAGATTGACCGAAGCCGCTATAGGATCCTCTATAAGATGTCTTTATCGTCGGCAAAATCGGCTACTACGATTTATTGCATGATAGGTTGGTCAGATACATAGATATTGACTCTTCAACATCCTTTTGAAGGGGGAAAGAATACCACCTTGTGGAACACCAGCTTAAAAAAAACACAAGTGCAATAGAGTTTATTCTTGAAAGATAGATATATCATCAACAACATGATGTATTTGGTGTATTATTTTATGTAAATTACGGAACCCGAACTGGGTGTCTGGGAATGTTATTAGAAGCAATATGGGGTAGCAAATATTTCAGGATAAGTCTCTAAAATATTCGATTAGAAGGTTAAAAGACTTATTGACCTATATGAGGCCAGGTGGTTTGCCAGGCTTGGTGAAAAGAACTATTTTTGAGAATTTCCATAAAATTGGAAAGTATGAAAACCTAAGAACAGCATTAAATATAAAAGTTATAAGTGTTATGGTATTTTCGGGAGGCACCTATCAAATTCTGTGATAATTAAATCAAAACCTTTTTTAATGTATATTTTTGAACCGTTTGTTTAACTTCGTTTGGGGTGAAGTATTTTTCAGGAGGACTATCAATTGGTAGAAGGTTTAGAAAGGTATCAACCTCGTTTGCCTGTTGGAGTATGAGTATGTCATTATGCGGTGGAAACATTTTATGCAGATAGGCTTTGAATAATTCGGCTTTATCGATATCGAACGACGCATACGAGTAATCAGGTTTTTTAATGGAAATTGAGATGTTTTATGGAAGTGTTTTATATTGTAGGATTTTTTTAGTATCTTTCCATAAGCTACCATCTGAAGACAGTCTCGTTAATTTTTGTTCGAGACTATTAGCTCTTTGCTACGCCAGAACTTTTTTTAAAGAATTAGTAGTCTTTTATAAATAAACTTATGGAAATGAAGCCAAGTGTACTGATAGTGAACTCTCACTCTTCGATTTTCGACTATTTAAGAGTACACTTGATTAGAGATGAATGGGCGGTTGGGAGAAGAGGGCTTGGAGATACTATAAGTGTTGAATAGAATAGCCGCCGACTGAATGGAGGTATAGATTATTGACAACTTCATCAATCGTCATGATCAGTTTTTAGTTTGTTTAGATTAATATTTTGATCTATTGAAATTTGTATCAATCAGTCGTGTGAGAGAAAATAAATGGTCTTTCATTAAGTGACTGTTGAACAACAGTAATATTCATGATAACTGATGAATAATCCGAGCTGAAATCAAGACTATTGTTAACTGAACAAAACAGATTGCTAGGAAGATATCCAGAATATCGGGTTTTTTCCTTGTGGAAGTTGGCCAGTAAGTAGGTCCTGGTGGATAAATAATTATATATTTATTAGCAAGGACAAAGTTATAGACAATTTTACCACGTGGTTAGCTGAACGGCAACCTCAGCTCTAATGTTTCGCATTGTAGTCACCACCCACTATAAAATTATTGGGCATGATGCTAAAGTAGTCTAAGATATTAATATTGGTTAGATTGTGCCTTGGAAAACTGTAAATAGCATTGTGCATAACTTTGAGAATAATTTGGCAGTGGAAGAAATTTTAATTTGGTTTTTATAAGTATAGCTCCGTCATGGGCTGTACCATCAGGATGGTTGGATTTAAGTAAGCTCTAACCAGGAATAGAAATATACGGATGTTCGGTAAATTGGGTAATAATGGGTTTGTAATTCATAAACTTAAATACTGAAGCAAGATTTCTGGTAAATTTTTTTGTTGCAGTATAAAAAAAAAACATTGTAAATTCAATAGGTATATTCTTCGCTACACATCTAAAATTTAAATTAAATTTATCATTTCCAATTTTGATTTGAAAGGATCACTGGGTAACTTTAGGACATCCATTTTAATTGACAACCACAATATTTAGTGGGAAATCTGGATTCACCGTGTATTAAAAGCGCCTTGGTGCAAATGAAGTGGGATAAGTCTTCCCAAAAACACAGCCAGGCCACCCCAAATCAAACATATATATTAAGTATTTAATCAATATTATGAGTAACTTAGACACCTTTCTCAAAAATATTTCTATCTATAAATGACCACACGAAAAAGGGCTAAACGCTTTTTTTTACAATCCATAGCTTAGTGCTTTCTGATGAAAACACTGAAAATCCAGAAGCCCACTCTTTGTTATTAGCCATAAAATCCTAAAAAATAATGATTCAACATTCTCAACATCTGTATAAATAATTATAATAACTCATTACTGTTACCGACTTATAGATAAAATGTACTGAACTAATTTACTAATTTACTTTAGGAACTCTTTTTTTTTTTTTTTGGTTTTCTTAAATTATTACATAATAGCAGTAAACATAACATTTTAAAAACAAATTTAATATTAATAAACATTTTATTTAAATTTGCAGGGCCAATAAATTTGTATTCACATAAATCAGTAAATAGTACATAAAATGCAATGATTTAGAACAAATGTTTGTCCATGAAGAGCACGTTTTAGATTCGGAGTGTAGTGAGGAATGTATTGGTTTACAATGTTTACTTTTTTTTTTCTGCGAGTAACAGTATTCTTCCAGAAATCTTAGTCTAATTTATTAAGTGTAGCACCTTTTCTGAAATACTGTTTTATCTACTTGATACTTTAGGGAGGTAATTTTTTGACTTTCCAAAAGGTTTTCATAATAAATAGGGAAAACCAAGAAAAAAACATAAGAAAACAGAAAAATGTACATAAATGTATAAAAATAACTTCGCTCCGAATGGTTTTTTATTAGCAAAAGTCTATTGTTGAGTATAGATATAAATTAAATTCTCCTCTAAATATTACCTTCTAAACTTTTCACCTACAATATTGGCCAACCTCTCGTATGTAGTATGTCAGTCTTTTTTCATTTTAGTTTTGATTTTTAAAAATATAAATTGAAAAATACCTCTCTTAAGTAACAACTAAATAGAATTTTTCTTCAGAAAATGAGCTAAATTTGATACATTAGAGTACGATTTATTTTTGGTAAAAAAAATTGCATCACTGTAAAACCAATACATTGCTACACTCCAAATCTAAAAAAAATGTTATAAGAAAAATAAAAGGTTTAATATTTTTTTCATTAACATCAAAAACTTTATTATTAACAATGAACTAAAAATTTAAAAAAGTCAAAATGTTCAACATAAATTTATAATTAATATTCTACATTGTTCTAGAATCTTCATACACGGTCCAAAACCGTATTTAATATTTTGTTTTAAATAACAATATTAAATAGGTAACTTATTTAATAGTACAGTATTAATAATATTGGTTAAAAATAATAATAATAATAAAATACAGTAAATAATTGATCAATACAAGTGTGTATACACAAATTACAATGGATATTTACCTACTTGGTAAAAATAATGTAAAATTTGACTAATAAAAAAATGTTTAGTATAAAAACTAGTCGATTATTTATATTTAAAAATGTGTAATCGTTAATTGGTAGCATTCACTAAAGCGTCTGTAATTGCTTCAGCTACATAGTTTACATTATCTATGTTCAGTCCACAAATATTAATACGTCCAGAACGCAACATGTATATATGGTACTTGTTTCGTATGTATTCTACATGACTTGCTATAATTAAACATATTTTAATTTAGTTAAATATAAAAAATAACTAAATAAATGTGTTTATTAATATTTTACCTGATAATCCTGTATAGGAAAACATTCCAGTTTGATCAGTTATATGATTCCATGTCCCAATAGTATCAAGCTTTTCTAAATTTTCTCGCAAAGCTTTTCTCATTTCTCTTATTCTATTTGTCATGAATTTCAAGGTTAGTAACCTAATATCAAAAATTATAATAAAATATAACCATAAATCAAAACAATTAATTTAACTTATTTTTGTTTTTATTGTCAGAGCTGAGTAGGTTAGATTAGCCACATTTTATATGAAACTACTTAAAAGAAAATAGGGATGAAAACTTTTTTGTGAATCTAATCCTAAAATTATTTATCAGTAGAATGGTTTAAGTTAAAAGTAGTATATAATATTATGAATTAAGTATTATTGAGTGCAAGTTCATCAATAAAAAAAATCACAAGTGTTCATGCCATTGTTTGTTTATTAGACCAGGAGTTGACAATAGACGATTTGCGGAGAGAAAATTAACATTTAAACGGCCCGGTAACATTTTTTTTCTTTATTGCAAGATTTTGTTTTCACTTTTTTCTCTCTGTAGGTCCAAAATATCCAAGATGCAAATGTAATTTATATTTATGAATTTATTATGTATGATTACGATGGTATTTATTGTTTATAACTGTTTATGATAACATAACAGGGGACGTTGTACCTTATACCCACTGATTGTTACATTATTCAGTTTTTATAAATTGTGATTGCAAACATCGTTTTTAAAGGAATTATGAAATTTACATTGAATATTCAGTTTGTATTAATAGATGATAGCAAAATATTACATTATATTAGCTGTTATTTGCATACTTAATTTTTTTTCTAAAAACCTTAAAGATGAAAATAAAAACATAATGTTCCATTATTAAATAATAAATATCTGTTTTTTCTGGAAGTGTTAAATAAGATACAATAAAACACCAAATAATATAGTAAACAAAATGTTGAATTTTCTTCTTTTTTTTCCTAACTCCGAAAATATATAGCCCTTGAAATTTGTTTTCAAATTATCTGGCTCTACAATCTAATTGTCGATCCCTGCATTACACCTTTATGATAAAATACTTTTCAGTTTTTTTTTTTTAATTCAAACCTACCATTCTTGTTTGAGTTCATTATTATTCAGTATTGTACTGACAGTACGTGCACCGTGGTTTGGTGGATTTGAATACATTCCTCTAACAATCATTGTCACCTGAGATTTCACAGCTTTAACGTTTTCCACAGAATTGAGAACAAATGTTAAATTTCCAGCTCGCTCATCTTTACAATAAAAATAAACGAAATTATATTAAGATCATTTTACTATTAAATAATTTTAACAAGTATTATTAACTCACTGTAAAGTCCATAGTTTTTAGCAAATGACTGTGAACATAAGAACTCAAATCCTTGATTAAGAAAATATCGAACAGACCATGCATCCTTTTCCAAGTCTCCAGATGCAAAACCTTGGTATGCATTGTCAAAGAATGGTAATAATTTACGTTCCTAGATATATATAATTAAAAGTTAAAGCAATTTGTTTAAATATCTAATATTAAGTAATCACTATATTTGTATTACTATACAAATATTAATAATATTATATTGGTTTCATTTTTCTTACTCATAATTAGGAGTCAGAAATTATAGTGGCTAAAATTTAATAAAAAATAGAAAATATTTATACTTTATCCTTGAAGTCCACATACAAGCAATTGTTATATTATTTTAGTAAGTTTACTGGTGGGCATGTGGAAATTTAGTATAATTATAGAATAATTTTGTTTAAACAATGAATGTAACTTACAATACTAATTCAATTAAACATGTTTTGAGTTATTTGCATGTTTTCCTCATTAATAGAAAAAAAGCAAGGCAATTCAAAATATGACATCTCCTATCAATTAAATTTAAAAATGTATTTTTTGATAACAGTAAAAATGTTATGAAATATAAATAATCCTGTATGATAAAATACCATAAATCAATTTAATAATAAATTATACATGCAAAAAATGTATACCTTAATCTAATGAAAATCATACATTTAGACAAATATATTTAACACAAAAACGTATGATTAATCTCGTGATAAATTATAGAGCATTTTCATGGGCCATTACAATTTTAGTCTCTACAATTATTATTTTTAACTAAATTACAAAAAAAAAAATAACTTATACATCTATCTTAAATTGTCCTGTTTTTCGGGCCTTTTTTTTACCAAATATTAAGGAAAATAAAAATAATAATATCTCAATGCACCAACTAGACAAAGTTTGCTACCAAAATCCACCCTTGAAGTTGATAATCAAAGGAAAATGTCTGGTATAAAAGAGATTTAAACATAAAAAAAACTGCATGAGTCATAGTAAAACCATTACATTCATTCCTTGTTTCGCTCAGAATCTAAAACCTAAAAATTGCACAAAAACATTTACTATTAACTTACATAAAAGCACATTAATAATTAGTGTTATTGTTACTATACAGTTGTTATAATATTGTTATAAATAATATATTAACATCATCCACAATTGTTTATAGACAAACATAAGCCATCATAATTTCCAGTCAATCATATTAAATTTATTTTGAGATAATGAAAAATTATTTTCATGAATTTGTATTTTACCAACCTTTATAATTTCTGCAATTTGTTTCCACTGAACTTCAGTTGGGTCCAAGCCAGTTGGATTATGGGCACATCCATGTAATATGATAACTGCATTTTCTGGTGCATTTGATAAGTCTTCAATAAATCCATCAAAATCAATGGATCTATTTTCTGCATTCCAATAGCGATAAGTCTTTGCCTCTTTAAATCCACTATTCATAAAAATCAAATGGTGATTTTCTAAAAAAAAAAAACTTAAATTAATAAACTATTAATATTTACATTTTTAATATAATTTTGTATTAATTCTTAAGTCTTGAAAATAATTATTACAATATGACTTTCAGATTAAATTTTTCTCTTATATCTAACAAAATATGTTTTTGAAAAATGTTTCTTATAATGTTAATATTGGACTACCAATAGCCTGTAATTTCAATAAAATAAAATAATTTAATATTTCATCAATCAACTATATTTGTATATCTTGGTAAAAGTATTTAATATTTATTTATTTAAAATTAAAATAAACTATAAGTTTTTGAGGTCACTTATGCTGTATATAATTTAAAAATAATTAATACTAATGAACAAATATTTCAGATTATACAATATTTGCACAGTACCCAAATTAATCTCTATCAAATACTACCAAAATTAATAAATATTATTACATTTATTTAGCAGTTTTACTATTAAAATATATAAAGATATTGTTATATTCGTAATTAGCAACTATCATGTGTTAAATAAATTTCAAGGTAATTGGCAAAATTAAATTCAACTAATGTCTATGTCATAAACTTTAAATGTTCAATTTTCAGAAAAATTTGATTTTTTTGGTTTATTGATCACATAATATTGAAAACTGTAATCACAGAATTTTGTAAAGGAGAGCATTATATATTAGTCTATATATATATCATAGGTTAGCATAACATTTGTATATTTTTTATTCTAAAGTAGAGATAAATCATTGAAATAAACCCCTTGAAACCATAGGTACTATGATAGTTAATATTTTAACTATTTGAAGTACTTACTAAAAAAGAAAATTTATTCAATGAGTGGAATTACGCATTAAGTATATAATAATATTTAATTCAAATGTTCACGTGTATATCTACAAATATTAAGTGTTAAGTATAAAATGTCTTACGCATTAAATATTATTATATACTTAATGCGTAATGCAAACAAGACATTTTATACTTGTTTGATTGTATCATAAAACAATTTATCATAAATACAATAAACCAATATAATAACAATATTGGATAAATAATAATTATTAGTCTATTACAACTCAAAAAAAAAAAATTAGTAGGTAGGATATATAGATTAATTTAATTTATATCTGTATACAGATCATTTCTGATTGAAATTTGATTTAACATTTTTTGAAATGCTTAGATTTGAATGATTTTTGTCAACATTTTTTTAACAATAATTTCACTAAAAGGATAATCAAAAAATGGCTCTTCACAATGGACTAACTCGATAGGATTTAATTTTATAAAATATGCTATATTTGATAATTTCAGATAGAAAAGTTGTTCAGAAAGAAAAGAAACACGTCATAGTAAAACCAATACATTCTTAATAATACATTAATAAGAAGCTCAAATTGTGAATTATAATAGATATTAAAACATAAAAGTTAATAACTAAATGGTTTTAAATTATCAATTAAGATAATTTTATTCCCACACTTCCAGGTTCAGTTTAACATTGCACAACATAGAAAATTACATTTCTTAGAATTTGAATTGCAGCATTTTGGTTTAAAAAATAGTTTCAACAAAGATTACAAAATTTTAAGATAATATTTTTGAGGGTATCTCTGGGCTTTTCTCTATAATATTGTCAAATAGTAAAGTTAGGTTTTTTAAATAATTGTATTAAACTAGCTATGTTAAAATGTAATGACTCACTCAATATTTAATATTATTACTTAATATCATAATGTTATTTGTACATAGTTACCCCAAGTAGGTGTTGAATAATAGAATGTAGTACACTTTAAATGTTTAGCTAAGAATTCTGCACCCACTCGAAGTGCTCCAGAACCACTAATTGATTGAACTCCAAATATCTAAAAATAGTAAAATATTTAAAATAGTCCAATAGCTGATATTTTACAATTATATTAAATAAATAGCAAAATGGTATTTTATTTAATTTAATAAAATGAATTAATGGGCCAAACAAAAAAAAATATTTAAGTTTATTATTATAATATACAAGAAACATATTATTCGCTGTTTAAAATTATATAAATGAATAAAGCCATAAAACATTGTACATTTTACTTATTATATTTAAATTTGTGTTTTATACATTTTGAGAATATTTAAATAAGAATAATTTGTTTATTAAAATTAAATAATGTTGAGTATAAATGAAGTTTAATAAATAGTTAAACTTTATCATAGTTAATTTCTATTAACTTTGTATATAATGAATTTAAGTTGAATCACATTAAATTGTAATATTTATTACGATTGGGCAGCAACTAATATGTGTTTATTCCCTTAATTCTTATGCTGTATATAAAAAATGGACACCACATGATAGGAGAAATTTAACCTCGGGACATTGGAACTACATCATTGTGATGCACGTGGTGATCACACTCTCTCGTAGCACAGAATATACAACATGCATTTGTATTTCTATTTTAATGTCAATATGAGTAAAATCAATTTAAGTAATTTTTTTAGATTAACATAAAAAAAAAATAATATTTTCTCTTTCATTATTATAAGTTAATTCTGAAGTAAACAATTTCATGCAGTAGATAACGTCATAAATGAGAAAATGAGAATCTTGGACCCTAATAATCACTAGAACTACTCATCCATTGATATGTGATAACTATTTATGTAATACAGAAACAATAATCACCATGATCTATGACTCTGTAATTAGACATAGTCCTGATCTATTTTTGACTGAAGGCTGGACAATAATACTAATTATATTTAATAAAAAAAAAAAAGTAAAGAACCAAAAAGATAATATTCATAAAATTAGTATTGTTAAAAAATAAATCCTAACACATATTATTTATTATAATTTCATAAGTACAATCAAGCAGACTTCAACTGGTGTGGCATGATTATCCTTTAGGTGTGTAGGAGCATTACACAATTTATTTTTCATGTAAAATATGAGGTGCCATTATCAATCTTATAAAAAAAAACTTGTTATCGTATAAGCACAACTTAACTTTAGAACAATAATATACCTACAATTGTTAAAACTCAATATATTTATTTAAGTTGTTTTAACAATTTTTAAAAACATATTTACTTAAACCAATTGTTCACAAAAATTTCTAATTTCTCAGTTTTAGTGTGTTTCTATTTTAGCTTTAAACCTAAATTTAACATAAGGGGCCATTTAAACTTGTTTATTTATTATAAGGCAATTTAGGCTATTAATAGGTAATTTATTACTGTTCCATCATCTTGTCGTTTAGTAATATCGCCCAATAGAAGTTGTGAAGCAGATTTGGTAAATGATTCCAAGCCCAATATAGGTAAGTATTCGTGATTCACTGTATTCTCAAGTACTATGTTCTCAGCCTTTTTGACGACAGGAATATAATACGGTTTACCTTCATCTGTCCTGTATGCTAAAACATACAATGGGAACAACCGAATAAATAGCTAATATACAATGGAATGATATTTGTAATCAGTAAATATTTTACATACCCCCAACAGTCAAATTTACTTTTAAAGGATGGTCATCCTCATTAAATACTTTCACTAAATGGAACACTTCAATGGGAGCTGCTTCTTCGACGTCACTGAATATACTCATTTTTATTTAATGAAAATAATTATACTAATAATTATGAATAAATTAAGAAAAAAACTTATTCATCAGACGAGTAACATACAAACTCGCCTAGACAATTACGAATGACGAAAAGGCGTGAGGGACAAAAACGAAATAAACGACGAGCAAGTGAAGAACGAAATGATGTCAGATCAACACAATCACATTTCGTTTTTAATGATATCAGGCAACTGATAAGTGATAAGTAGGCACGGACGCGAATTGTCTGTTATCAATGGAACCAATGCGCATAAATATAAATAACGAGTAATAATATTTGACCGTGGTAAGTTCTTATCATAAACCTTATTAAAATCACGGATATTTTAATATGGCCAGCCATGTTAAAAACATACAGTTCTGTAGTGCGATCTAAGTAAATAATAATAATTTAATGGTAAAACTAATGTTGAAAATCGGGATAATGTCCTCTTTTCGTTCAGTAAAACCAATTTTATGCTGTTTATTTAAATATTATAGTGAATTGACTTATTATCAAATTTAAAAGTAAGAACACTGTTTTGTTTGTTTGTTGGTTTTTTCCGATATTTTGATTCTTAAATGAAATACAAAATTGTTTAAATTGTAATATTTCATATTTCACTTGCTCGTATTTTACTAAAAATCTTAAATATCGGGGAAAAAACCAACGTAGCAACCATGGTACAAACACTGAAGTTGTTCTTATCTTTAAATTTATAAATAGGCCCAAAATCAGTTTTATTGGACGAAAATTTTACATAACCAATGTTCAACGTTCAACATTACCCGTAACATAGGTGTATATTGTATAATATAATTAATACCATGATTTCAATCATGATTAATACCATATTAGTTCTTGGGAAATACACGTATTGCGCTGATAGTATACGACGCTGTTGTTTTCAACAGTCTAGGCCGTCGCGCAACCATTTAAATCCATTGCTACATAGCCTAGTAGTGGAAAGAAAGTTGCTTAGTTCTAAGCATTTAAAATCTATTCAGTGAAAATGAATAAGCTCTCTACTCTATTCTACTCTATCACTCTAATACCTATATCAATTTATAACCTAAATAAATAATTAACTATTTAATAACATTAGAAATTCATAGGTAGGTACCTACATTAATTGAATATATAGATATAATAAAAGTTGCCATCCATCCCGGTACACCGGGACATGTCATAGGCATAAGCGAGCGCACGGGGAAAGCAGGAGGCGGCTGTTTCCCCTGCGAAATTTTCCGCCAAATATAAAAAAAAACATATTTTATAGATTATAGGCAAATATTTTTTTTTTCAAATACTAAATCCTGACGTTGTATCTTAACTTAGAAAATTGGCACATTTTCAAGAAAATTTCAAAATCTATTATAAGAATATACTAAAATACTTATAACTACTGGAGTAATTTTCTAATATTCTCTTATACAATTTGAAATTTTCATCAATGAATCATCGCTGTAATGGTCAGATATTGAAAAAACAATAATTTATTTAAAAGAAAATTTATTGATATTACAAATAGTCGTTTTGAAAAAATATTGTACAATTACTACCATCATTATTTCATGAAAATTGGTTTAAAAAAATCATGCAAGACAAATAGTTACATTTCTTTCAAAAAATTGATTTACTTAAGCTAAGGGAAAAAAGCATAATTTGTTTTTGATGTACCAGTATTTATTTGCCTGCCTATTCCTGCCTGCTGGTCATAACGCGAATATTGAAAGGATATTTTTACTGATAGTGGTTCAGTGGACCAAAAAATGAAATCGTCTTCAAAATTCAAATCAAAACAGTTGAAAGTGTTACGCGCCGTTTGGACACAGCCTTTTTACGGGAAGATGTACGAGTATGTTTAAGTCTACACATTTTATTTATTAATACTTAAACAAACACGGTTGACAAATTATAGTTATAAGTGAATACCGTTGCGACATCAGACCTGGATTAAGACTTAGGTGTATTTATCAGTTATAAGAAAACTATAGAAATGACTGAACGGGTTGGCGTCGAGGTGACGGTGCTCCTCCTTCTCGTGCGTCAGTGGTGGTGTAGCTGTCTCAACTCCTGACTAAACTGCCTTGGTGGTGATCACGCTCTTCTCATGTACGTTTGTCGCCTTGGTCTAGGTGGTGGTGGATGCTGCCGTCGTTCTCTACTGGTGGCACGTCGTCCGTACCCGGAAACGTTTTCCCTTTGGCCCCTGAACACATATCATTCGTTGTAGCATGGGAACGTCGTCGGTTTACCACACCCGTATTAATGGCTCTTACGTACGAACACTTAATGAGACGGCCGATTTCATATTTAGTCACATAGAATTATTAACTCACTTAAGCACGTAAAAGACAGAGTCCGTAACAAAAGTATCATTCAAAGTAAATTTAATTTTAAGATGATCTGCACTGAATTTCATACCTACGTTATGAGTAAACCAGAGTTACTAAAACAGTTTAAAAGGGTGAAAAATATAAAATTTAAAAGGTTAAATTAAGTATATCTTATTTAATACCTATTTTAATTTTTATCAATATAATCAATTCCAATTCTATAGATAGAATATAGTCTATATCTATATAGATAATCAAATAATTATTTATAATATAATAATTTACAGAAAAAAAAAGTTATGTTAAAACTTGTTAAGTAATGATCCACTGACCGTTTCGGAGCGAAATTCCATTTTCCGATCCTTTCTGATGGATACTAAATTTGGTTAGCATGACCTAAGGCGGCGACTTAAGGATCATTTCCAAAGTTTTGTGGCGATCGAACCCTTCCATTACCGTATCTAGCCGAGATATACTCGATCCAAAAATCAGAAGAAATGCGGTACTTTTAATATGAATTACCCCTAATAGACCTCAGGGGCGTTTTTTAGGGTTGGTTTTAATTTTTTAACGTTAGTATCAAATTTACAACTGCATTATTATAATAAGCAGGTAAAAATCTGTCTAAATATATAAACCCGTTATCTTTTTATATTACTGTTAAATATTATAAACACATTTTAATATTTAACCTTGTAAATTTATAACTGTAATGAATAAAATTTGCAAGTATGCTAAGTGTAAAAATTATTAATAAAAAAAAAACAACATCTTTATAAATCAATATTTTTATTGTTCATACTAGTATGTATTACATCCTGTTTGAAGATGAAGCAAATTTCGAAATTACTTTGTCTGGGTCTACTGGTATGTCATTATAAATTGATAAAAGAGCTGTGAGTCGGTTTTTACCGATAGTTGTTTTCAAGTATGTTTTTATGCGACGTAAACTTAAAAAAAGTCGTTATGATGTCGCAGCTGATACTGGAAGAGTAATTAAGATTTCAAACATTTTTTATTTAGATAAAATGTATCATCTTACATATTTATTATTTAAAAAAAATAATAATAAGGTTAAAAATAAAGGAAGTCAATTTAAGGGTGGTTTGAATATCAAAAACAAATCCCTGGGCACGCCGCTGACAAATATATATATATGCTAGTGAAGATGTCTTCCTCACGTACGTTGAAAAACAACTAAGATACAGTGCTAAGTTTCAAACGTAAAAAAAAAACATTCGCGACGAAACACTGTCGGCAAATTGAACGGCAGTAAAAAGAACAGCGGCGAAATGGCAGCGAAATGATGGTTTCCGTTTCTACTGCGTTACTTCTGTATGAGACTTAGGTGGCTCTCACACCGGAGCAATAGGCAACGAGCAACTAGCAATCGGCGATAAGCAATAATATTGCCATTTTCATAATCTTGTAGTAAATAATGAACGTTCTCACAACGAAGCAACACGATGTTTCTTTTTGCAAACGTGTAGCAATACGCATTGCCAGCGATACAACCGACGTGTTGCCGGTCGATATTTATTGACAGTGTTGAGCAATACGAATTATTTGTATTTATATTATATTATATAAATTCGTGTAACCTCATTTTTAATCTTTCTTAATTTTAATTAAATTAAAAATGTGTGATGAATCCGCGTTGAACATAAAATTTGTTCAATTCGTTGAACAATATCCATGTCTTTATGATTTCACTCGGGATGATCGCAGAAGACGAAATGTAGCTGAAAAGGCATGGAATTCAATTGGAAGAGAATTTAAATTATCAGGTATGTATATTTTATTTAATACTAAAGAATTAATCAATTTGTACATCTGTATATTATGTATAAAAATAATAAATATGTAAGAAAAACATAGTCAAGAGTACTTTCTATCAATTAATTTTAATAATAATAATAATCATTTTAATCATACTGTGTAATTTTCTTGCCAAAACAATGTATTTTCTGGTTTCAAAAAATACTTTTTCAAATAGTCTCTTAATTCATGTGCAGATTTATTACTACAATGGTTATTGTTTGATTGTGACGCCTGTATTCCCTGATTTTTACTTATCTGGGGAACTGAAAAATGACCCTCAACTATTTTAATAAAATTGTGTAGAATACATGCTGCTTTTATAACTTTAATTGCAGTATCTTCAGATAAGGACGAGCAAGATAGTGACACTGATATTATAACAGACATTAATCTAGACAATAGCGAGGTCCCTTTACACGATGAAATTCCATCTACATTAAACGAAAGTTTTCAAAAACGGCATGAAGATGTGTCTCAAGATAAATTTAGTGCTCCGTATACTACAAAAAACCTTGTGTTACATATGAAAACTTCAACGGATTTGGTTGATAAGTGCTTCGTTGATTATATTACTTCAAAAAGAGATTCTCAGACAAACAAAAGTAATAGCGATCTTGATTTTTTCAAAAGCTTGTTATCTGATATATCTAAAATGACAGATTACCAGAAAAGGCAGTTTAAGAGAAGAATACTTGATATAATTGATTCAATTTTGGACGATTCGCCTAAACAGACCTCTATTTCATATGTCCAACGAACTTTATCCAGCTACTCTGGAAGTTCATATTCAGTACCGAGTCCTGAGTCATCTGGGACGCCCGTATTTCAACAGTTGGAAAATTTGCATTCAGAAGACTACGAACGAATTAATAATAATCCGAAAACAGTACAAAAATCACCTCCATACCTTTACTGAATAGGATGTAAATGCATTTAAGTTAAAATAAATATTAAAATTTAACATTACCTGAGTGTTATTAGTAATTTTTCTGTTGCACTTATAGCGTCTCTGTAATTAGTATCTCATTTTGTAATACTCGGTTCAATTAAATTCAAAAGTTTTTGAAAAGTATCTAGGCTCATTCTATAACAGCTTTTGAACTGTAAATGATGAAGTTTAAGTTCATCTACATACACATTTGCACCATATTTGACAAGCTGTTTAAACCTTAGGTTAATCCAATATTTACGGTTTTTATTTTTTATTTTTCTCCTTCTCCTTAAATACCACCATAAGAAAACAACCTCCTCATCAGATGATGAAGTGGTTGCTACTGCGTTGCTTCTATTTGAAAGCTCGGGGCAATACGTATTGTCCGTTGAATATTGTTAGTTTCTACAGTTACATATTTGCTCGTTGCCTATTGCTCCGGTGTGAGAGCCGCCTTTGTTTCAGTCAAATATCGTCAGGGACGCTATTTTAAGCCAACCACTCTCGGCTGAGCTGAGTATCCGTCACGAACTATATAAGATATAAAAAATGCCTTACCTAAAATCTTAGACTCTTAGTCTGTGGTATCTTTCGTATATTTTCGTTTTTTGTGGACGTATGTAACTTAATCTATAGCGTCTCTATAATATTATAATATCCAAAATCGGATCATTTATGATCGAATCACGATCATATATAAATTATTTGGGCGAGTATCCGAACACATGTTATATACATACGACTATGTTTTAAAATATTTTGAAATTTTGTCTTCGTTAGGTACTCAAAAGCCAAAGTTCAACTAAATCATCATATAGTCTATTTTATTTTACGGAATTTCAAAGATACCAAAATTTCATTCTTTCCGAAAATTATGTTTTTCATTAGTTTATTTTGTACATAGTCACACAGATATCTTTTTGATATCTATAATTTTGTCGCTATTATACTATAGCATTATTACACTTGTTATTAGTCAAGTACCTACTTGTAGGTACCTACCTATTTGTTATTAACTTACTGAAAATTGTGCACACTTACCTATATCTACGAACAGTTTATGATTGTTCATTTTCATAGATCGTTCTTATATTATGATTGGAATTTATGTAGGTAGGTATTTTTTGTAGTTCTACTATGCGTATATAGGTCAAAATTGGCACCAACTTATCAGTTACCAACCTATAGTATTTATTTATGTTTAATATTGGAAATCCGAACAATATACATTTTATTGAGTTTCTATTACGAGTATATTCTGATAGTATACCAGATAATATCTACATGAGTACAACTTTATCTATATTATATAAACTTATATTTATCTTTAGAAATAAAATAAGAGTTACAATTGGATCTTTTTGGTTTACTTTGATACCTATATTGGCTTGGCTATTTTATATTTCACAACATAATATTATAAACTAATAATTCACCCAATATCCATTATTTGGTATTAATGATCCTGAAATTAATTTTACCATGAATTTGTAACAATAAAGCTGTATAAAAATGTCGTAGGAATCCATAAGATAAAGTTAGAAATTTAATATTACCTATACACCTAGATAGGTAAATAATTTATACAAATTGACCATTTAGCTGCTCGTTTTACTAAATCTTTATTTTCAATGTGTATTGGTAAATACATTTATGGGTATACGCACCTAAATCGGGTTAAATAAACCCATTAAAAAAAAACATTTCTCGTTTCGCTCAAAATGACATTCTACTTAATTCTACGTCAAACTACCTAACCACCTTACCACACTGACACATAGTCTGGGTGTGTGTGTGTCGTGTTTGTATCTATTGTGGTAACTTTTTACTGGAATATTTTTGAAATTTTATTTTGGTAATTATTTTTTGTAATAGTTTGAAAATAAATTTACTTAATATAATTTCTAACAAAAAATGTTCGCGTAATTATGAATTTGTTTCAATATTTAAACAAATATGTTTAATTTTCAATCGAACAGTGCCGGCGTTAGGATAGGTGTGGGTGGGTGTACCCGAAATTCATCAAATTTATATGTGCTCCGTCCCCCCAAAAAAATAAATCTACATTTTAAACTTGGAAACCGATCTGGTTCACTTTTGGGATAGACTATACAATAAAATAATAATTGTTTATTATTATTATTTTAGATTTTGAGTGGAGAGAGGAATTTATATTAGTTTTACAATGACATTTATTTCTTTTTAGTTGTGACCAACTTTTCTACTAACAATTTTACTTTGATTTACAATCATAGCACTTTTTCTGAAATAAAATCTGACTGGTGTGGTACTTTAAGGTGGTCATTTTTTGATTTTCCCAGCTGTTTTCTTAATTAATTGAAAAAACCAGGAAAAACGGAAATAAAGATACAATATTAAACAAATATTATTAAAGAAAATATTTAATGCATATGTAATTATTTTACTATACTATAACATATATATTGTTAACAAAACATCACTATAATCCGACCTCCGCTCGGAATCGTTTTTCGATAGCAATGGGTAATCGTTGCGTACAGATATACATTAAATTTCCCATCTACCTACCCAACTTTTTACCTACAACAGTGGCCCACCAATTTGCGAAGTATGTCCGTCTTTTTTTTACTGTTTAATGGCGACGATAATCATTAAAAGCTCGCGTATAATGTACCTTCAATATACATATTTTGTATATCTTAATAATAGTATATTTTAATCACGATGATGAACTAATGAGCAAATTCGTTAATCAACGAATTTGCTCATAGGTATAGGTGCGCATAAATCCGAAAATAGGGATTCGGATCGCGGGTATACGTCGTATACCCTACCCAAGTTTGCCTTTCAATACACCACTGCTTATATTATTAATATAAGTCGAAAAATAAAAATGCTTGTGATAACTATGTAATCATATCTATATGTTTTTTTTTCTAATTGTTAGATATACTATTTAAATTCCTCATTAGCATCTAATTAAATTATAGGTACCGACCTACAATAAATATTCATTAGTATGTATTAATATATTATGTATATTATATAGGTACTTATACATATTTTTTTTCTTATAAATGTATGAAATTTGAATTATTAACTTTCTTTATAATACAAAGTATATATTAGGTACCAATAGCTATTTTAAAGTTCACATTTTTTTTTTTTTTTTTTTATAATTTTAAATCGAATATAACAAATTAACAAATTGTATTATTAAAATATTTTTAATGCCAAAATAATTATCAAGTCACATCATCATCATTGTATAGCATAATATTTTCACCACGGGCAAGGTCGTCAAACATAAAAAGGTATTTGATAATTTACCTATTTAATTTATTGGAATATAATATTAAATATAGATGGATTGAAAAAATTCTAACTATTTTTTCCTAAATAATAACTTATTTCCCCAAATGATATTAGTAATATTTGTTTATTATATTTTATCAAAAGTTTGGATGGTTGTAGATTATGTGTGTGGGAATTGATTATATTGTCAATAACAGCCACAATAACTCAATAGGTTGGAAAATTACCGGATATATATTTTTAGTTAGTTCAACAGTATATTTTCCAGTTTAAACTGCAAATATTAACTGCTGGGTATAGGATACAAAATCAAAATTTGTATTCATTATACAAAGTGATCAATCAAGTCCTTCTTAGACCTCTCCTGAATTCAAAAATGAACATTTCTAACTGTATTTTATAGTACGAAAACCTATTACAACCTAAATAGTGTTTTGGAACCGCGCTCTAGGGCATGGTCAAACCCTAAAGCCACCCAAGTCTTCTAAACCATTTGCTTACGTTTCATTATCAATGCTCCTTAGTACCCATGTCATCAATATATATTTGTAAACTTGAAAATAATAATCTTAAGTTTTGAGTAATTCTAATATTGCAATCGTCTTCACAAGAACCACACGACGCACCACGAAAATATCATCACAGACATTATAATTATTATTATTCTTTAACATAATGATCAATATAATTTTAAAATTATTTTTTAGAGCATCAAGATTATACAGAGTGATTTTTTTTATTACGAACCAGAGGATTTTAAGTGAATTTGATTTCTGTGTTTTCTAATCATTATAGAATCGTTTAAGCTTTATTTTAAAACTATTTTTAATTTTTTACCCCTACTCCATATACCAACCATAAATAAGTACATACTTTTAATTTTCAAATAAAAACCCCCTTACTAGGAGTAGGAAAGGGTAATAAATTGCATATCTATAATACTTCCGAGATAATTGCTGATTCATGGTAAAATAATCATTCTGTATAGAAGGGTGTACTATCGTCAATCCATAAGTCTAAATGGCATACTTATCGTTCAACGCATTTCTTTTAAAAAGATAATTATTAGAGGTAAGTACCTACCTATAATGGCCATTTTTAAATTTTTTTATGTTTAATGCTACATACTAAATTTACAATCTATATTTAAAATATAGTGAGTAGGTCTGATAATTAATTTAGGATGTTACGTAAGTTAAAGAGAGAGTAGAAAGGCAGTGTCACCTAATTAGAATAAATTACCATTTAGCTTTTACTTGACCACGGAGGTACCAGGCGGCGGGCTTTTCATCTAAAAACGACCTTTCCATTTTCCCATAAATATAATGGGCGTAATATGATTGCGCGCGGTCTTTATCGGCGGTACCATTTTAGGTGTACGATTGCGCGCACTATATTATTTGTACTTCTGTGCAACGTTGCCAAATATTGCAGTTGAACAACTATTTTCTGATTATGTTTTGGAAACGTATATTGAACCTGGCTGTTTATTTCCACCTATTTTATGGGCTGAGATGCTTCACCAAATCCTTGGTAAATATTTACTAAAAAAAGTCTTAAAAACAAAAAATAATAATGTTTACTGTAGTATGTCATACATTTTCAGAACTACAAGCGGGGTTGAAAGTTTTTATAGTACATATAACTCACAGTTTAACAGTGCTCATCCACCGATATTTGTTGTTATAACTACCCTTCTGGAGACTCGGGCAGAAACATTAACCAAACTATTAACCATTTCCAAAGGATTAGTGAAGCTAATATCGAAGCAAGAATTACAAAAAATTGAATTTAAAAAAAAAAAAAACACGAAGAGTATAAACAAAATAAAACATTAGAAAATTTATTCCTCAAGTATTTGGCAATAGTGGAGAATAGTTAAAAAATATCAGGGCTTTAATATAACTTTTTTAACGATATTTTTTTAATGAATTTTAATCTATCTATCTCTCTATGTAACCATTAGTGGCAACGTTGCATCCAATTTCATGTGCAATCGTACGCCTTTGAAGGTTCAAAACCGTATCCATTGTTATTCCGGCACCGCGCGCAATTGTACTCCGCCGAATTTTATAAATTCATTTCATTTCCTTTCTCAAATGGCTCAAATTTAATGCACTGTTTTTGGCAGCGGTTGTAATGTTCAACATTTTAAGAATCATTTATCAAAATTATTTATGTTTAATATTTGCTTACCTATTCATTTATTATTAAATATTTGTCAATATAATAATATTTTATTAAAGTCATTTAGCATTACTTACCCAGAAAGCACTGCGAACAATTACATGTAAAATCCTACACGAGTGACATTTTTACCTGGATTTAAAAAAATAGTGTAATCACCTATACAGACCTTTTTATCTTTTTAAGTTTGGTGTAGGTAACGCTGATTATGTGCAATAACAAACTTATTACCTATATGAATATATACTATGGTCAATGAATAGGTATAATGGTATATGTTTTCATAATGATAAAATATTCTAACCGATTTTATAATAAAAAACTTGAGTTAAGGCACTCAATATGTACCTAACGTTTTCAATAGAATCTCTGTCAGATACATGGAAAACGTGTACATAACCTAACCTGGAGGGAACCGTGGGTGAGAGTCACCACCCTGATCGAAAATCCAGAGACTATAGTCCCCGGTTTTGGACTTCCACGAAGGTATGGTCAACACTAAACAGGGTAAGAACTGAGAGCAGATGCAAAAGTTTACTCTATAAATGTGGAATAGTACAATTTCCTCTTTGTTCATACGGTATACTACTATATAAATAATCCGGCACATCATTGAAGAATGTCCAAACACAAAAATTAAAGGCACCATAGCAAAACTACACGAGGCTGGGACGGAGGCAGTTAATTGGTCAACTAGCCTAATGAAGACTCCACTTAATTGCATTCAACAGGTCATGTTTAATGATAACATTAATGTCATAACAATATAATAGTTACAGTTAAATGTCACAATCTAATGTTCAAATATTTAAATGTTTAAAATAATGTTATTTACTTAGAAATCTATTTACACGTTTATCTATTCATTTAATGTTATTATCTTTAGTTATTTTTTTTAGTTTTAGTATTAGTAATTACTAATTGGTATTATAAGTCGATTGTTAAACGTAAAATAAATAAATAAAACAAAATTATATTAATGTTAAATATGATTACTGATAAATTATCAGTGGTTTATTTTAGATTTGAAGCATAGCGAGAAATGTACCTTTTGGTTTTGCAATGATGTTTATTTTATTATTATAGAAATCTTGCTCCGATCTATTAAGTGTAATACCTTTTCTAAAAGAAATTTTACATTTTTGATACGTACAAGGTTAATTGAGTTCCAAAATGGTTTTCATAATAATTGAGAACAGAGAAAAATGTAAAAAAAAAAAATGTAAAATGTATGAAAATAATGCTATTATATTATTTTCAGTTTTATTTTGTTTGTTGTAATTTAGTTGAACATATTTGTAGACAGAAAATTTGGACAGAAAACTTACATTTTTCTAAACGTGGTAAAATGTTCAAAACATTCGATTCCTTTATGAGCTATTCATAGACATTTTATTTTTGAGAGCTTTTCGCGTATTCTGTGGGTAAAATTGTTAGACTAAATAGAAATGTTTTAGTATTTGAAGTGTATAAAGTTTTATCATTGTTATCAAAGATTAAAATTATTTTAAATTAAAACAATTTTTTTTTTCATAATAAAAAGGAAAATATTTTTAAAAATCGTTTGGCAGAGTAAATACTCTTATTTTTTTATAAAATGTATAATAAGCGCCTATCGTTTCCCCAGGCTTAACCAAAGGGTCCTAATATTGTTGAAGTGTGTTGTATATTTGTTCACTGTTGCCGCGCCGCGAAACAAGATGGAAAAAATCAAATATAATATGTAGACTGTAATGGAAGGTAACGAATTAATTAAATATACCTAATACCTATACACATAAACTTAAGTAGGTAGCTAATATTTAATTTAATTCAGCAACTAATTTAAAGAAAAATATAGAACATTGGGGTACCTACATAACTAACCTAAACCACCTAACTACTTACTTTATGTAAAACTTAAAGATTTATGCATTTAACAACAACAATGAATTATACATTATTTATTTCATCTGCAGAGTACATATCGTAGTAATTTTACTCGTTAGAATTGTTCGAAAATTTGTTTATTTTCCACAAATATGTAATTCGTAAGTTCGATCATATTGTTGGTTGCATTAAAATCGGGATGTTTGTGGCGTTCATTATTATTTGGATACTAATTTTCTATGAAATTATGAAATACTTCGTATGTGAATAACACGAATTTCCGTGAGGAATGTTAAATTCTTATTGCAGCAATGAAGCTGATTATTGTCTTATCGATTTTCGCTCGATCGAACATCTAATCATGCTATACACAACTGGAAATTAATCATTGGGAATACCGAATGTATTAATAGATTTAAGGAATATTATCGAATTTGATTGGATTATAGCAGCGACAATAATAAACTATGATACTTATGGTTAAATCACAATTTATTATTTACCGATTAGTCGCTCAGTCCTTATTGTGCCTCGTCTCGTTACTTTACCTTTTTCTTCTCCATTTTTCTTTTCAATTATTTCTTCATATTGTCTAGTATTATATTATATTGCATTTTAATTTATTTAATAGACACATAAAAGGAAAACACCGAAGCAGAGGTGCGAGCAAAGCCACGGGCCATAGCCTTTGGGCTTTCAAAAACTCAATAAATTTAATTTATTTTATTTTTTGACTTAAACGTTTAACACACCTAAGGTCAGTATATTGGGTATCATATAATAATTTTTAACATAGAAATAGTGTAGGAAAGTATTTTATATAGATTCCTGTATATTATTAATACCCAAAAAGTACATATTGTACTTGTATGAATTAATGTTTTATAAGTGAAAATATTTTATACGGGTGATCAATTTATATAGGAAGATATTTTCATCATCGCCAAAAGTATTGTTTTTTTTTTTTTCGAAATTTTCTTTTAGAAAAATTCATGATAAATACGCTACTGGTTTCTCAGTCTTTTAAACAAATTTGAAATGTCTATTATTTCTTTATTATAATAAGAGGTAGTAGGTATCTAATTAAATTATCTTTGTCATAAAATGTACCTATTACCTATATCTGTAGTGTCTTATTTTTAATTAAATATTTAGTTATGTAAAATTAAATTAAATGCCAATTTTACAACAAATAATCAAGTCCAGTTTAGTTCATTGGAAATGTTAGTCATTTACAAAATTGACATTACTGGGTCTAAAAAATGATTTAAATATCTGAATTTAAAAGTTTAAAATTAAAAAATAATTTTCCGTTATGTGATTAATATAAGTAGGTACTTGGTTAATATTTTTGTTTAGCCGTAATGGCATAAAACCTAACATCTAATTAATATTGTAGTGAATACAAATATACCTATAGATTAAGACTAGAGACATTAAAATTGAAATCTTGTCTCTTGGGTTAAAAAAAAAATTAAAAATGAAAAATGCCTAGTACAAATATTTTCCATGCCCCCCCCCCCATGTCTCTGCGATTGAATTTTCGATTTTCTCATACCCCGCAGAAATATGTCAGGTTTAAAAATTCGCGTTTGAAGTCTTGGTGAAATTTTGATCTCTGAAACTGCTTCTTAAAGTCAAGAAAAAGTATTGAAAAATCACCCATATGTTTTCCTTATTATCACTTAAGTTAGAATTAACATTTTCTAATTTCTTACAAAAATATAAAAGATTTTTAACACTTATTTGTTATCTACCCCAAAGCGCCATATTAAAAAGTGTCAACAAATTTAAATATTGAAATCCTAACTGTTTGGCGCTTTATTTATACTATTAGAAAACCACTGTAATTTTCAGATATTTTTAACCTTAGTTTTGACACGGAGCACAAAAGCGTCTGTAAATAATACAAATTTTCCAAGTCTGCTAAAGTACACCTCTAATCCTGTCATATCTTGGCGGGAAAAGAAATTGAATTGCAAGTCATTGGTTTGATATTTTGACATTTTTGTTTTTTTTCTACCCTAAAAACTAGTCTTCAATCTCTACCAATGCTGTCTGGCTTTCTTGGTCTAAACTAAACTTGTATGTAACAACCATTAATAATTGTTTAATATACATTTTAATACAATATAATAGTACACAGTGCATAATACATAAAAATATAACAGTTATAATTTTATAAATAACTTATAATATTTGTATATTATTTTATTTATTTTTATTACAAACAACACAATCTAACACCTAAATCTGCATCACATCCATTCTTCTATTTTATATCATTTCAGATTTGTTCTATAATTAATTGTTAATTTTTTTTACAGAAAAATCATGACTTTCCCTTCTACAGTAAAAAAGTCCGGTTCTATGAAAGCCACGTCTAAAACTGGATCAGAATCAAAGGTTCTACCTCCAGGGTCTCCAGGATCACCCAAATTAATATCTGTGAATACATCTGCAAAATTGCTACCAATTGGATCTTCAGTTAAAACACCACTGGCTAATAAAGTTTCTGAAAAAGTTAACGATGGATCTGCTGTTAAAAACTTAAGTTCTAAATCTATTACTAAACCTGTAAATGATGTTAAGTTTGAACTAGCTAAAAAACCTATGACCAAACCTCCTCCTCTTAAGCTGAATACAAAATCAATAGACTCAAAAGAATTACAATCACCTGTCACTCTGAAACGTATACCTAAAACTCCGACAACTCCATCTGTAAAATCGTTTGTATTAGCGAAATCACCTATGGTAACTAAGTCATCATCAACTATGTCAACTTCTGTGTCACCTGGAATAGTTAAATCATCTACTTCTCCAACTTCTAAATCATCTCAAGTGACTGCAGGATCGAAGTCTTCCACTACATCTTCAGTTAAATCTCCTTCAACATTGAAATCTTCACCAGTAACTAAATCCCCACAAGTATTTGCTTCATCTAAATCTACTGTTATTTCTTCTCCCATCGCTAAATCTCCTTCGACATTACCTACTTCAAAAACTTTAACAGTACCTAAATCACCATTGTCTACTAAATCTTTAACTCCAACAGTGAAATCACCATTGTCTACTAAATCTTTAACTCCATCAGTGAAATCTATAATATCTAAGACAACTATTAAAGATAATCCAACGTCATTAAAATCTGTCTCAACCAAAGACCAAACAACTGTTGTAAAATCATTAACTCCAACTAAAAATACAGCTTTGTTGTCTACCAATAGTACAGCAGGAGTTAAATCACCAACTACACTAACAACCAAGTCATCAACAATTTCAAGAAGTCCATCTATGACATCTAGTAAAAAATCAATTTCTTTAAAGGTCCCACTTTCTCCTTCAAAATCTTTAACTAAACATCCTAACACTACAAAAGTGTCACCATCAGTAAAGTTGACTGTTTCTAATAAACCAAGTATTGTTTCTAAACCGGAACCAATGTCTCCAAAAGTTATGGTTAAAAAAGAATCTAGTACTCTATCATTATTATCGGTTAAATCCACTTCTACAACAAAATCTACTTCTTCAATAGTTTCTAAAACTTTGGTGTCAAAGTCACCAATAGTAAAAACACAATCATCAGTAGTAAAATCCCCAGCATCACCTAAACTAAAAACTATATCACTTCCAATTGTGAAAACCCCGTTATCACCAATAGTGAAAACGAAAACTACACCATCACCAACAGTGAAAACGAAAACTCCACCATCACCAACAGTGAAAACGAAAACTCCACCATCACCAATAGTGAAAACTAGAACTACTTCAATATCAACAGCAAAGCCACCATTGTCACCAGTTATAAAAAAAATGGTACCAACCAAATTGATATTAAGTCCTGGATTAACAAAAAGCGGGCCACTTTTATCTTCTAAACTCAATTCTGTTTCAACCGATAGCTTAGTTTCAAAAACATCATTAAAATCTCCAAAGAGCCCTACTAAAGTGGTTTCAAAAAAGGATTCAATAGATATTAAGAATGCTGTAGAACCAAAATCCAAAGGTATTCGAGGAAAACAGCCCATTACAAAGACCATTGATATCCCAGGAATAAGTGAATTGCCATCAAATTTAGTTTCTAACAAACTCGAAACTCAAGATATTGAATTTAAATTAGAAAATCCTACTGAAAATATTTTAAAAGAAGAAACTGAAATGAAAATAATTCAAATACTTGATCAAGATTCGCAATATTCTGAGGAATTAGAAAAACACTCTACTCTTATAAATATTGATAATAGTTTGACAATAGCTAATAGTTTAGTTAACGAAGAAACTACATTATTAGATATAACAAATTCATCAATCAATCAATCACAAAAAGTTCAAGAACATAATTTAGAAACTATACAAGAGTATTTAATTGAACCTTCAACATCACTTGAAGAAATAAGACAAGATGAAGAAATTTGTTGCTCATCAGAAATCGAAATTGTAAGAAAAGATAAATGTGTACCATGTTTAAGTACCATTTCTCAATCTGTCAATAATATTGATGATAATCATTTTGATATGACTAATGGATATGTTATTATAGAAGATTTAAATAAAACACAATTATGTACTGTAGATATAGATGATCACTTTGAACCTATGAATGACAAATTAGTACTTGGAGACGTACCATTTGAAACTGATTCAAGTGATATTTCTGACAGTGAAAATGTTGTAAATGAAATAATTTCAACCCAAATGGATGATGATGTTTTCTCAACTGAAGATAACTTACCTTTATTAAATAAAGATAATTTATCTTATCATGATTTTGATAGAGCTGACAGTACAGAACTTTTCATTCATAAACTTTTACCAAAATCAATGACACTATCTGAAGGTGAATCATCAGTTAGTACAGACGATGGACACCTTAGTCGAAAATCTTATTCGGAAGTTGTTTCGGGATCACCTAAATTTAATGATTGCTATTTTGATTATGACTTTGAAGTAGCTGATGATTGTTTGGATTATGACAATGATGAGAGATCAGTATTTGTTGAAGTGACAGAAAAAGAATTTCCTGAATTAAAATCTGACTCAAGAAAACGAAACAAAAAGCAAAAGAAAAGAAACTATAGCAATAGAACTGATTCTCAATCTGGTAAATATAATTTACGATAAATTATTTTAAATATTTGTTTAATTTCTAATTTGTGTTGTATTATTTATATTTAGATTCAAATATTTCTACATCCGAAATAAATTATAACCCCGAAGAATTTGATGGCAATGAATTTTGCCGTTACATTAAAATGATGAAGGATTGTTCATTTTATCCAAATGGATTATTTTCATCCGATTCTGTCAAACTATCTACATCATCATCTCTTTCATGGTTAGATATATCCATCCGGACTACTGATGATGACTTGAAACCATCTACAGAGTTCTTAAGTACTTATGAGGTATTCCAAGGTAGTTATTTAAATAAAGATTTCTTAACATCAATTATTGGTTCTACTACAACTCCCACAAATGAAACTACTTGGTTTTGGAAGTCAATTGAGGGTAAACATCAAATGCATAATAAGGCTAATATAACACTTAGTCTTAAACCTAGACCTAAACATTTAACTACACCTCGTTTCATGACCCTTTTGGCACTTATCAGTGAAGCTAAAGGTTATGAAATCAAACCATCATTGTCTGAACATTTTGTGACCACTGACTGTTCTGCAAGGTTTGATAATAAAATTAGGAGACTTATGGTTCAAGGATTTTGGTTGGTTGGCCGATTAATAAGAGAAAGTTTGCATGTGGAGGAAGAAGTGAACTGTGGAAATCCATTTGAGTTTGATGATGGTGATATTGGCTTATGGTGGGCAGGTATAAATATGTTGGACTGGCAAGAATACATAAAAGAAAGTGGCAAAAATCAACCAATTCTAAGTTGCTATCAATTCGTTCTTGAAAACATGAATACAGACTTGGGAAATAGATACAACTACAAGGAAGCCTTGTTAAGCATGAACAGTACAATACCTGATGATTTTATGAGCGAATTGGATATGGACAATTTTATTTTAACTGTGCGCAATGTCAAGTATTACTGTGGCAACATTTTCGTGGACAGTCAAGAAAATATCGAAGTACCTGAAGAAAGCTGTGATGATGATGGTAATCTCAAAGAATGGGATAACAACACTGTAGAAAAAAACTAAAATGTTAAAAATAATTAGATAAATATTTATTAGTATTAAGTTTTGAGATATTTAGTATTTAAATAATAATATATTAATATAATTGTTAAGAGCTAAATTGTTATTTTTGATGTATAAATAAATGTATATTACATAATTCATTTGAGTTTTCAAATTGAAATTATATAGAATTAAGTACTATTGTTGTGTTCTAACAATAAATTAGTAATAATATTTTGCATGTTTAATGTTTTGCTAAACATATTTGGGATTTTATGATATTTTGATTTAATTTACATTTACTAAGGTTAAATAACAATGATAATGAATTAAATAAACTGCTTATTACGTTTTATCTAGTTTTTTTTTTTTTTTTTTTAACAAATAATATAAGCAAAACTAGACATCAGACTGGATAAAAAAAATGTAGATGTACAATAGTATTGTTTGGAACTGTTCATGTATTATTACACTATTATAATTCTTTAGTTTTGATTTATTATATTAAATACAAGGTGAAAGGACAAATATATTAATAACAGAAATAATTTTAAAAAAATAATAGAATATACATATACATAATATATTTCTTATTTTTTTTTTTTTAAAATACAAAGGTAACAATGTAGTTGTAACAAAAATCCATGACATGTTGGACAATATTTATAAAACAATATATATTGTTTTTAATTTATTTTATGAATATTTGTTTAAAAACTTCTGTAAAATAGGAAAAATTGATATTTATACAACTAATATCTTATAATTTTCTCTAAAAATATACAAATACATGTATTAATCATAAACACAAAATTAAGTATCACAAAATAATAGTTACAGTCTGGTTATTATAATGGTATTACAACAGGTTTATTTTGATATAATTAATTTAAATATATTCTTTTTTCAATTAATCTTATTTGTAGTCAAAACATGAAAGCAATTTTGAATGAAAGTATTTAATGTTTTTTAAAAAAATATATATATATATATGTATACATAAAATTACTCATATTTAAGTGTCAAAATAAATTAAGTACGAATCAAAAAGTTATTTGTTATAAGTAAAAGGCTTTATAACAAAACTAAAAATTAACAAACATAATTTCAACAATTAATATTTACTGGACATGGTTAAACTGACTCAATTTTGAAAGTAATACATTTATTATTTTATGCAAATTTAATAATCAACCAACACCATATTTTTTTATTGCAGTATGAAACAATACCTAATTTAATAAACTAAATAGATAAAAAGCATAATTTAGTTTAATATACTATTAAACATATTACAAATAAATTTGATTGATTGTTAAGAAATCTTCTAAACTGATTATAATAGTAAGTAATAACTCAAAAAAGTAGTATAGGATATAGATTTAAAGATATATTTTCTCCAGTTTGAAAACTTTATTGTAACAAAATTCAATTTTAAATATAATACATGTAGAAACAAATTAATAGGAAATAATATTGTATGTGCATGCATTAATTATTGCAACATTAGTTAATGTATAAATTCTAAATACGGTTGAGTAAAGAATTATTAGATACTCAAAATCATACGTGTTTTGATAAAAGAAACGTACAATAAAATTACCGAATTTAACAGCTAAAAAGGCTCAATTATCTGCAGAGTAATAAAAAAAAAAGATTAGGTATAAAGAAAATAATAGTAATTAAAAATTGTATGAAGTTATTTACTTAAGAGGACGCTATACCCAGTCTCAGTCTAACTAAAGGGTAATATATTAAAATATACCTTACACAGACTGTATGAGAAACAACTATTAATTTTGGTTTTAGAGGGAAAGCGCCAATTAAACAATCAAAAAAAAAGGGACAACAATCGGGTTTAAAACAAATTAAAGTGGGAAACGTTACCAGTTGGCTTTTAAAGTACGAGACCAAGAGTTAAAAATACTGCAGTTTTTAAAATAGTATATTATAGTACCCTATCTATAAATAATAACAATTTACAAAATTGAGAGAGAATTCTAATTAAAAATTAATTAAAAGTTTATTTTAATTAACACTTCTTAATACTGAAACTACCAAGTTAAATATTTATACATTTGTAATCTGGTTGTTATTAATGATTATTAATTTATGAAGATTTGTATTTAAAAAAAATAAATTATTGTTTTAAATACTTTATTTTTAAAGAGCAATAAAATACAATTATTAATAATATATATACATGTGATGTATTAGTAAAAAAAATATATAACATCAGTATTACCTGATAAATAAAATATGATCAATAACACTCTAGGATAATCTTTGTTTAATTTATGTTTACTTTTAGTTTTAAGTATTAACCATTCTAAATAATTTGTTTTTTTTTTTGTATTAAATTAATTGAATATTTGTATAATATACACCTTTGATATGGCTTATCATTCTGTAACAACATGTAATATTATTACATTTATACTTATAACTCGCATATTTATATTTTTAGTTTTATTTAGAATCAGTTAAACACATGAATTCATACATACCTACAAAATATATGATCACAGAATATAGTTATCTTGTCGTATGCATTCTACCACACAATTACGATAATACTATAATTTATTGACTCGTCAAGGATTATCATTCCTTGCCTATATGCTATATATATGCTATACCTACTCAATACAGTCCTTAAATCAATTAACATAAATCTTTATTTTTAATAATATATTTATTTTTATTTATTTCCTAACCAAAACTTGCTATTTTACATCATAAAATAATCCATAATTTATTAGATTTTACATAACATTATTTACAGAATAAAAATAAGATAAATTTTTATTTTATTAAAACCTACCTATACAACTATTGATATAATCCATCAACAATCAGTTTTTCTGTAGGATTAAACCTTTATCAAATAAATACTTTGCTTTTATCAAACTTTTTATTTAACTGGAATCTGGAATCTGATACGAAAAATTACTTAATGTTTATTTTTTTTATAATCGGTTGTCTTTACCTTGCTGGGTATTCAATATTTTACATTAACGGTAAATGGTTTTTAATTATTAGAGAGTAGATATTGGAAGGAAAAACAGACCGTTGTACTACTTCACAATTTTATGTCTGCTCTGTGCTGTAGTAAACATATATTTTGTGTGTACCACATTTCTGTTGTTAAAATTATTATTTGTTATTTTTTTAATGTTTAATCATTGAAATACTAATTTATTTATATAAATTGTCTTAAAGATCGTGATACACATAAACAAAGCAAATCATTTTCAATTTCAATCAATTTCATATTATATAATGGTGAGGCATTTAGTTGTAGAAGTCAAAAATTCTTCAGAGGATATTGAGGAAGGTTCATTGTTTAAATTGCCACGTAAATTGTACAAGCGACAGAAGAAATGCACGGAACTGGATTATTTTGATTCTAATGTAGTTCAATGAACAGTACATGAGTTTTATGATAAAAGAAAATATCGAACTGCTCTTTCAATTTAAAAAAAAAATACCAAATTATGATGGATCCGTCCAGCCTGTCAAGAGATTATTAAGAAACTTAAAATTTTCTTTTACAAATTGTAATGATGTTAGAAAAATACTAATGAAGCGAAATTATACTGTCACTTTGCATTGTAAATTTTTACGTGCAATGTGTACACTTCAACAGAGTAAAGATACCCGACCTGTGGTTTATTTGGATGAAATCTTGGTAAACCAAAATCATTCAACATCTTATAATTGACAAAATAATGAAGGAACTTAGCGGTTAAAAATATTGACTGACAAAGGATGTCGACTAATTTTTACTCAAACTGGGTCATCTCGTTTTGGATTTTTTGAGGGATCAAAATTAGTTTTCTTTTATCAAACTGGGGTTTCTACTAACTACCATACGTCAATAAATGCAGATGTTATTAAATATTAACTGAACTGTGTAAAAGAGTTAACTTGTTAAAATTAAAATTTAACAGATACAGTTAGATGAAATTGTGAGTTCAATGGGCCATCAAGTAATCATTCTGCTACCATACCATTGTCAATATAACCCCAATGAAATCATATGGACACAGATTTAAGGTGAAGTGGCAAAAAAAAAAAATATCTTTAAAACGGTAGGCCTAGAAAGACTGACACATGAGGCATTGGATTCAGTATCCAGCAGTGACTGGGAAAAATGTGTAGATCATGCTAATAAAATCTAAGATGAGATAATGAGAAAAAGATATTAAGAGATAGCCTGTTAGAGCCAATTATCATAATCTTCGCACTTGATGACAGTGAAGATGATGTCAAAACAATTTTTTAAAAATTGTTATACTATTTCATTTATTTTTTTCCACCATTATATTTGTAAACTTTTCTATACATTAAATATGTACATGATTTATTTCATCATGAATTATAAAACTGATAGATTATTGAAAAATCGCCTTATTTTATTACAAAAAATTACACTCATATAAATAATTTGATACTTCATTAAACGCGGGTTATTTGTTTATGATTTGACAACCGCTATGGAAAAACTGCCATTTAGCACATGACAGTCAGCACTCATTTTTCATATCCCTAACTATAAATACCGCTGAACACCGTATACTGCAGTTACAATGTTGCCAGTAGACTGCATACAACAAGATATCCCAGAATTTATGTGTACATATTATGCTCTACTATATTTTAATAATAGGTGTTTATAATCTGAAATTGTATGTACTGTTTAATTACCACATTAATTGTAAAATTTATGTTTTCTATTGAATTTAAGTTTATATAAAACAAAATCAGACAATTTATATTTTACTCACAAAAAAAATAGTAAATAATTATAACTGATACTTATAATATTAATAAAAACTATGATAATATATCATATCATAATAGTTATACCTAAAATGTTATGAATTTAAAAAAAAAAAATCTTAAATATATGTTAACTTGTGAACAAAAAACATAAAACATTCCTACTTATGTCAAAAATGAATTTTAAGCAAAAATGTGTATACTTGAATTAAAAAATATTCAATTTGAAATTCCTTTTTTACTAAACAATATATTGAATATTTAATTTTGAAAATTTTGAATTAAAGGAAACATATTGTTTATTATATTTTAAATCATAGATGAACTAAGTAGTAAACTAGATGTGCGTAATATAAAATAAATTATTTACTTATCTTAATATATTTTAAAAGCTTATAAATAATAAATAAGTTCATTTGTTAATATAAATGTACCATAAGATCTTTTATATAAATTTGAATAGTTAAATTGTTTATTTTTAAAATAATCTATAGTTGTAAGTAACAAAAATCATATTTTCAATTCAACTATTATTAACTGATAAAAAGATAATTTTTAATACATCACCAGTAAACAGGTTAATATTCCTTTTTGACTTTTAATTCAAATTTTTAATTAAGTTTTATTATTATCAAATATTTTAGTTATATTAGTGGGCTTATATTAGATACATGATCAAACACATTATTAATAAAATATTACTTTACGAATTGTCAGCATTAATAACGTTTTGTAGATCTTGCAAGTGGTTAGTATCCTGTGATTGTACATTTGATAATTCTGCCTTGTATAATATATCGTGACATAGTGGACAACGATCCTAAATTATGAGATAAATTTGAAATGATAAACATTTTATTATTTTACATTCTTAATTTGTATTATTACAGTGTAATAAATTAAAAGTTAATAATTCTTACCACCCAGGGACTTCTAGAGAAGTTTTCTAAGAATAAGTTAGTTTAGAATAAAATTAATTTAATTTAAATATTCTTTAAACTGAAGTATAGATACACACAATTTTAAATTCATGAGATGTATTCAGGAGTCAAGGTAGTAGTGATGTTCAAGTAAAGTAATGATTCTCAAGTTTAGCCTCGGATCCACTGGACCTTTAATCCCTTAAACCCACTTTACAAATCAAACAAAATAAATACCAGAATCAAAATTCATTTCACTGGTTAGAATTTCAAACTGAATTTTTGGGTATTTAGTTTGGTTCAATTATTGGAAATATTTAGTATGATTTTGAACCAAATTAAATACCCCGAGGTCAGTTAATCATAATTATCTAAAATACACTAGTTTTATAGAACTATTTTATAAAAATAAACAAATAATTACCTGAACATAAAGCCATTTACGTAGACACACACCATGGAAATAATGGTTGCATTTAGTAATTTTTGCAGAATTCATGTTTTGATAACAAATGGCACAAACATCATCGAGTTTAGCCAATTGGATACTAGTAGCCTCTGGTAATGATTCTATTTTTTTTACAGCTGTACGGCGTTTAATAAATACTCTCCATCCATCCCTAGCATCACACCATATATTGAAGTATGCATGTACACACATCATAGCTGCACGGACTGCACCACCAGACACAAATGCCATTATATAAACACCATTTAGAAATAGGAATATGCCAAAACAAAATTCCACCTGTGATAAAAAGTTAGATTATAACATACATAAAAAAAAAAAAATTGGTAAAATTACTGTATTTCCAAATGATTTGATGTAATATACATAATCATCCAGTTTTTCCCAAAATGTTGTTCGATAAGCATCAATTAAGAACAATGAATAGACAGCTAATGATACCAATACTTTTATAATAATTTCAATATTGAAAGAAGAAACAGCTAATAACCAAGTACTAATTGAATGGTGAGACCACAAATATGTTAACATTAATATAGGAAACACAATAAGAAATCCACAAACTAAAAGAGCTCTTAAATGCCTAAAACATTAAACAAAAATTAATTTTAGTTTATAATATTAATGATGACAATTTATTTCAATACCTGTTAAGTGAAGGATTATGTGAAGCACTCAAAGACATTAATAATGGATTGACAATATTATGAATATAATGCAATAGGGCAGCACAAAGTAAGCATACATTTCTATAAAGTCGTATAAAGCGTTTCTCTGGCGCCAATCCAGTTAGACCAGTTTGTAGAGATAGTATATAAAACAATACAGCAGAAATTGTTCCAATACTTTTATCATCCATATCATCTGTCAATAACACCTAAATCAATGAATTTAAACAAATTTAAAATTAAAATCCATAGCATATAAAGGTACCTATGTTACCTACCCATTGAAAGAATGCTCCAATATAGTGACAAAAGTACGATACAAAGCTTGTCATTCCTAAAACTGCTGTAAATGTGTCGCAACCTTTAATTAATAAATATTTTAAAGTTCCATATAAAGTTTCGTTTTTCATTTCCATATCAGTTAATAGGTAAAGAATTTGTTCCAGTACTCGTATGGCCCAAAATATACGCAGAACACTTGGGATGTTGAGGCGATTCCATTCCGTTTCAATCAAGGAAGATATTCCATAATTACTAATACAAAATAGATTATATAGTAGTATAGCTATGAGATAGTTTATACTTTATAATTTCAAAAAAACAAATATGAATATATTCATTTAAATATGGTACATTCATATTTTAGGAAATTTATCCGTTGCTTTTACTTTAAAATAGATAATTAAATAAGCCTAAAACTAAATTAAATATTAAAACAAAATAGTAGATTGTAATAACAAAATATTTTTGGTCTCAAGGGTCTTCAAAATTTAATTTGCTTGTATTGAAAATAATACAAAATTAACTTAAGCTAACATCATCCTTGGTACCAAATATATATTTTTGTTTATAAAAATGTGGTGTTCACCTAAGTAATCTAAGATATATACAATTTAAAAAATATACAGACAATATTAAAATGGATAATAGACATAGCAGGTTAAATGATTTACACGTAATATAATTAACCTTGGGGCGGGCAAGCGAACGGCATTTACACCACACTACACTCATGTGGCTTATCAACACTAATAGGTATTCTCCAATTACTAAATTAAATTTAAGATAAATAAAATAAAGTGGTCAGTATGGCTCCAATGCGTCCGGGGGGCCTATTTTTGGTTAGGTTAAGTTAAGGTTGAGTAATGACAAGACCTAGTATTTTGGTTTCTATTCCTGGTTTGAGTGACTTTTTTTCGAAAGTAACATCAAATTAAGAATACAAAAACATAAATTTTGAAAAAAATACTTTTGAAAACTAAATAAAGAGCTAAACCATATTTCTGCCAAACTTTTATACACACGCAAAGGAGCACATATTAACATATGCACCAAATATGATAAAAACGAGAGCAGTGTAATTGTAGCCATCTGAAAAACAAACTCATTTCGCGGGTCCGTCCAAAGATTAATGATAGAATGATAGAAATAAATAGAATGAACTTACTCAATTGTATCTCTTATGCTATTATATGCATCTTGAATTAAATTTGTTATTGTAAATATATTTAACCATAATGTTTGTAACATAATAAACAATGGCAATAAGGTTGTCAATACAGCAACTGTACTCAAAATATCTTGTGTACCAGGTATCAATGCAATTGCAGTAGGAATAGTAAAATTATATAAATGAATCTAAAGAAAAAAATGTATATATATTAATTTCAATTTGAGATAAAGACTAATTAAATGTAATATAAATTTACTTTAAGGAGTGAACGATAAGTTGAAAAAATGTGCAAAAAGTCAAACACTAGTGACAGACAACTTTGTATTATTATATTGCGAGTTATTACGAAAAAAAAATCTAAAATTTGTAGTTTTGTGAAAATATGAAGAATTCCATTGACATCCCATGTTATTACTTCGTCTAAAAGGGCATTGTTAAAGTATTCATATCTTCCAGATAAAAATTTCATAGCTTGCATATTTGTCCAGTAGGATACAAGTACGACACATATAGAAACCAAATGAAGATACACTATGAATAAGTACTTAGAAGGAAGTACAAATAAACATGATGTCAAACAAAATGCTATAAAAATAAAAAATTAATTTGGTTAATTATTAACAAATAATTTTCTTCTGTATGTAGCAACTAAATACAACTTACTTAAACACGATATAATTATTTTGAAAAAAGAGAGAAAGATGACCTTGTAATATTGTGTAGACTCGCTGATTTGACTAATGGTAGCATTTATGAGGATATCATTATTATTTGCAGGAAATAATATATCTGAAAATTCTGGTAACCCAAAACTATTTTTAAAGAGTTCATCCATAACAAATATGGGTGGCACCCGCAACAAATTACAGAGACTCATAATGTGTTCTTTAAATACTTAATTATTTATAGTATTCAACCCTGAAAATAGTAATCTCTTTTAATTCTGGAACATGCAAACCTCCAATTTAAACACAGTAAAACCTACTTGGCCAGTATAATGTAGATAATGTAAATTCAGACCACAATGACAAGATTTGATTCGAAAAAGAGTGTAAATAATTCATATGTTAATTATACATTTGGATTGCTCCAGTTTATTATTATTTTTTAACAAATGCATAATATTATTAATAAATAATTGCAAAGATAAATTATTAAAAATAGTAACTGATCTAGGAAGTTTTAATACAATTTCACTAGAAAATGAAAACACCGGAAAACAGTAGTTCTGAAAGATACAAAAATTCAAATGAACACAAGACACAACACAGTATCACATTTACAACACAGATATGTTATTTTGTCATTGTTATCTAACCTTATAGATAATACTATGTTGCACGATGCAGAGGAAAGCTGTTGTTAAAACAGCTGTTGTACCATTGTCGCCTTGTGGAGTTGAGTTAATATTTTTCGGCCAACGGACGAATAGTCAATTTTTACTGCTTAAAAATAATTTATTTTGGAGTAGAAATTGACATACATTTTATAATACTGTGTATGGTCAATGGTTTGATGGTCATGATGTGTAGAGTGCTGGCAACTTCGCTTGTGTAGAGCCATAGAATAACACCCCGAACTAAGATAATATATCTTAATAGTTATAAATTACAATTCGTGAGTAATACATTGATATAGAATAGCCAATAGGTATGTCATAAAAAATTAAAACCAATTTAATCGTCAATTTTAAAAAACTTCGAGTGAATATATGTTTTATTATTAAAAAACTGATTACCAACATACTTATACCTAGTTACAAAAATTATAAATACTACCCATGAATAATTGTTATTTGTCTTGTATTTTTAAATGATAGAAAGAGTCAATTACGTCGGTGAGTTTATTCTCAACTCGCTGCTACTTAATTCGCTCAATTGGCTTACTCGCCGCGTGTTGAACACTCGTTTCTCACCCGCGAATTTAGTTGACATCCTTTGGGATACTTTTGTTGATTCTCGCTTTAAGTAGCCCTCTACCAGATATTCTCTGAATTTAATAATCCGGAATACCAAAATACGCATACTGTAACGTCCCGGACAAGAAATTTCCGGAAAGTAATAGTACGGACTGTAAAATTACGGAATGTTATTTCATGGACAAGAAAACGGTGAACTATAAAAATCCGTATAAACAGAATAAACGAATTAAGATTAAAAGAAGGTTCATGATTTTATGGCTGTTTTCAGAGATGGATAGACACACGATAAATTAAATTTATTTTACCATGGATAGACATGCTCACACCCGATTATCAATATTAATAGTATTTTTGAAATTCCGGATTATTCTTGTGCGTGACATTCTGGAAATTTCTTGTCCTTAATTTTACTGTTTGTACTATTATTTTCCGAAAATTTCTTGTCCGGGACGTTGCAGTGTACGAATTTTTTTATTCCGGATTATTATAGTCTGGGATTTTCTGGTTTTAGCATTTATGCTTTCGAGATTTTTACGGTCTGGAATATTCTGGTCAGAGTATTAATTTTTCCGCCGTTTTACGGTTCGGAATTGTACGGACTGTATAATTATTTTCTGAAATTTTCTAGCCGTCCTAAGTAGTTATTTCTTTGGTTTCTATCAAATTTTACTTTTGCTCTGATAATAATTTCTTTACTAACTATTCTAAATTCTTGGTCTACTTTTTTTATTTCAATAGTTCTACTTCTTCACATCTATTTCTGGCCATTTATCTTTGTTTTTCTTGTTTCTCTATTTATTTTATTTTTTTAATTGTTTGTATTTCATTATTTCTTATTTATCCAGTTTTTATAATTACTCCTTTCTTCAATATATTTTATAATACTATCGTATAGGTGTACACAGACTTCTGAATCAGGTATTACTAAATTAAATTTAGGAGAAAAACCGACAAATACATTATACTTAAAAATCACAATCATTAGTTTTAATTCATTTATCTAGTTATCAAATTATAAATTATATACATTGTATAGTACCTATGTACTGTATAGGTCGTCCTACAAATAATTAATAAAAAAAATTATTAGTATATTTCTTTTCACACATATTCTTCAAATAGGTAATTTTTTGAGTTTATTTTGTAATTCTGCATAAGTGTATTCGAATTTCTTTGCACAATTAAAAGTAAATGCTATTAAGTACTTTTTAAAAATAATATATTTAGCCTCCCTTCTCGAAAAAAATTCACGGATACGCACTTGGAATATATACAGCGATGGGAGTTATTTAATCGGTGGTCAACAGCCTGCAATTATAGCCAATGATATTTTTAATTTTTAAGTAAAATATATTTATCAACGTTTTTTACCGATTACCGACTAAATTTCATCTAACCACCTACCCTTTCGTGGCCACAACTGAAAGAAATTATAGACATTTCGGAAGCGACTTCTTGTCGACAACTGGCAAATATAAACAACCACTTTTCACTAGAATTAGACGTTTAGTTAAAATCAACAATGATTTTAGTAAATATAACCGAATAAAACAATTAAAAACTTTCGAAATGTATATATGTTCCTAATAAACTTACAACGTATAGTCACGTATGATTTAATAAAATATTGAAAATGAATGTTAACATTAATTTAAAGTTATAAATAATGTATACATTTTTATATTTATATGCAATTAATACAATACATACAAATATGCTGACTTCCATCAGATTAAAGAAAAAAATTACTGAACATAATAAATAAGGTACCTATACATACTTATTATGTTCAGTAATACTTTATATTTTATAATATTATTCTACGACTTCCTGTAATTAATTTCTTAATTATTCAATAACTAGTGGCGGATCCAGGGGGAGGAAAAAGGCAGTAGTTTTTTAATAAATTGTATTTCATTAAAATTAGTATAAAATATCTTCTGTATTCTGAATTTTACAGTTATAAGTTACAAATTGTATAGTTGTATAATACAAGTAGTAAAAATAGTAACACAATTTTGTAGTTGGTTGAATATTTTCTAATATTTTGTGTTGCAGTCTCTTGTGTAAATATATAAACGCTTAAAACCTAAAATCTTTTCCACATATAAGGCTCAGGTAGGGCTAAAGAAGCACATCAATCATAACTGCACAACAGTGGTCTTCAAGTCATTCATACTTTTCATCTATATCATTTATTGAGAAGTATATTTGAATTAAGAAAATATCATTAGTTTGGGCTTTTTATTTTCTCCAGTATAAGTCTGTTGTTATAAACTGTTTTATTTTGCACATGTTGTCCCCACTTTTTGTTTATAATAAATTCTACTCTGGCTATTCCTGGTTTTTCTTCAATAATATGTTAACCATGTTAACAAATATCTCCAGTTTTTGTTTACCTGATTTTAATCCTAACCCGGGGTTAGAGGTTGACATGGTGCCCTGATTTTGACATTTACATTTTGATGCTCTCCAATTTGCCAATATTTAACATAGTTCTTACATTTTTTATCCCAATGTTTTTCCAAGGATTTCGCTTCATGACAACCTGAGAAGTCTTGTTCCTCTTCTTGTCGATACTAATATTTCAGAATATATCTGTGCTATTAATTTCCATCTCTTTATTATTTTGATTCATACTGCTTTAAAAAATTATACTTATGACAAAATTGATTAAATATTATATGTATAAATCTAATGGTAAGCAACATACAGATATAAATACACAAATTAATAATTTAAAAAATATTTCTATATATTTAATTAAATCACCATGAAAAAAAAAATGGTAATTGATACCATAACAAACTAATAAATATAATAAATTATTTTTGAATTTAATATAATTATTGATCCCATAAATTAATATATATTTTAAAACATTTTTTCTTAAATTATAGTAGGTATTTACTTATAAAATTGTAGTTATTTTTACTGTATCAATCAAAATTGAATGTACAATATTCAAATAATAATGTAGGTATGTTAATTACATGGACATGTTTATGGTTAATTATTACATAGCAGGTATTAAAATACCTAAAATATTTAAATATAAAGTACATTTTTGTTAATTTTAATGAGTAAGTAATAAAGGATTTAATCAATCTTTACAAAAAATATGTAATAAAATAGTAACAAATAAACATGTATATTATAAAATTGTTAAATACATATACCTATATGAGCACATTTCAAATTTTAATTACATTTCATAGGTAGATAGGTAAATATAAAAATAAAAGTGTACAACAATATTTTTTTTTATATTAAATACAAGTAATAGGCAAAATATGTAACTTTTAATTTTATAAAAGTTATACTCACTTAAAATTAAACCAAGTAATATTTATATTATTATGATATCAAAATATCAATTTTTTTATTCAAATTCAAATTTATTTGCATCATACTGAAAAATGTGTAATTATGAATTTTTAGATTATTGAGTGATATCAAAAATATGTATAAAAATAAAAACTTGGATTTACAGTTTAAAAACAAAATTTTATATACTTGTTTAATATTCAATATAACAAGGGATAAAAATGAAAACTAAATGGATTTTAAATTTAAATTTAATTTTATACCTTGTATAAAATTAAAGTTTTGAACTAAATTAAATATTATTATTAGATATTTAATTATTAGGAAGTTTAAATAGCAATAAAAAAAATATCACTATTCAATATAATTATTGAAAAAATGTATAAATGACCTCGCATGGTTAATGTGATGTACACAGTTTAGTATAATTTGAAAATTTCAAAACTTTAGTTATAGAATACACAGCATGTATTTTAATTAAGTGTTGGATTTCTGATTAAACTAAACAATACAAATTGACTAACTATTATAACATTATAACTAATTACTATTCATACAATTACATATTAAAACTAATTATGGTTAATTATCTATAGGGATTTAAACCTATTATACAAAATTTCTTAAATATAGAGTAATGACAAAAGTTTGTGGAATTTTAAGTTGACCCTGTGTTCATGTTATTTGTAATTTGTACTATATAGTTCAATTAAGTAGAATTTCATAGTTTTTCATTGGTTTAAGTCCAATATTTACTTAAATATTAAGTATTCATTTTTTTTTAATTAGGGCTAAACATGATAATAAAAAATGTATGTTTGATAAATAATATTAACATCAATGAATGATAAGTGACCCATTATACTCAATCTAAATCAAAATATGTATATTTAATAAATCATTTTATAATATTTACTTAATTTATTACAAATATTATATAGTAGTATTGATTTTAGAATAGTAAAATTACATATATCTAATTTTAATTAAGAAACCTGGAGCTGGTTTTCAAAATTTTCTCTAATTATGTAAAATTTGAAATTTTCCCTAATTTATTAACCCATATCCATTTAGTGGAAAGATGCTGTTTTTATGTTCAACAATGACTTTACGGGAATAATTCATTTTCAACATTATAACATTATATTATTTAAAATAAATAATTGTATATATATATTCAAAACATATTGAATTCTGATTTGTTATTTGATTTTAAATAATGATAAAAAAAAAAAAAAAAAAAATTATAAACTTGCCTTCTTATGGATAAAATTTAAAATGAAAATATTAATTAACAAAATTCTGAAGGAAGTCATCTTCTTTCTTACAAAAAAAATTATCATTGAAATCAGACCACTGACGAGGCACGAGAAGAGTTTTTCCCATTAGGCATGTTTTAGAGTAAAAAAACGCACGCGTGTCAAGCTCTTTGATTGGCTTATTTATATCTATTACAATGGAAGGAATATGTAAACAAAAGTTGGGTCAACTTGATAAGTAACATATAAATATGGAATATATATTTGGAATAAATCTAACTTTATTTGACAAATAAAATTATTAAAAATCAGAATTATATTAATAAAAATTGTAATTCTCAAAATTAATAATAATAATTAAACAAAAAATTAAGTTCATATAAGTAAACGCATAAAAATTGTTTTATAGTAAATATTTAACTAAAATTATTGATTTAAAGTTTTTAAATCACTTGTCTAATTTCATATTATTTGTTGGTACTTAAATAGGTACCAGTATTTTAATTATTACTTATTTAATTTAATATAATATTTGGTCAAATCCTTTATGGCATTATTCGTTAATATATAATATTTGATTTTTAATTTGTGTTACAAAGCAGTAACAACTGAACTGTGATGAGTAGAGCTTTTTTTTTGAGAATTATTATTTTTTAAATTATTTTTATTAACTCTTGTATCCAGATCCTTTGCTCTAAAATCAAAAATAAGAAAAATATCAATGTAGTTTAAAACATGTAAAGTAAGTTATGTTTAATAATAAGTCAAAAATATAAAATACATGTATTATCTATAATACAAACTATTTAATTAGTTTTATTAAATTATAAAATTGTGCCATACTTATAAGAACAAATTAATTTTGAATCTTAAATTAAGATATCTGTGTTTCAAATAAACACTTTGAACAATAAATTAAATTAGTGATTCTAACCCATTTAAGTATTCATTGAAATGATTTGTATTGTATTTTAAAATCAAAATCAATCTTTATTCAAAAAATAACTCAAAATTAACTTTTAAAACCTTACTTAAGTCTTTTAAAAGACTGTGTCAGTCTCTTTGATTCTGTACTATAGAACAATTCCGAAATATTTCATTGAAGAAATAACTACGTTCAATTATCTACCTATCTGTTATAAAATAAATATGAGTTATTTTTTACAACTCTGAGTAGTCTTCTTTGAAGTTGCCAAAATAATATTTGTTTACCCAATACTTAAAAATGGATAATTTTTCAATATAAACTTTAATATTATTAATTTGGTTACATTTTAATAATCATAATTATCATATAAATTGGTTTAGTTATTTAATTTAAAACATTTTGAACTAAAATATAGTTAGTGTTAAGTTATTGAAGTTAATTTAACATAATTTTAAAACTTTAATATTTGTAGAAAGACATTTATTTGTATAATATTATAAAATATAAAATGCCAAATAACAATCAGTGTATTACATAAATAATTTAAATTAAAGAATCTCACTTTTGTAATTTTATGTTTTGTGCTGTATCATAAGACTTTTCTAATTTTTCTAATCGTTTATGAATAGATGATATTTGAGAATTATTATTCTGTAAAATAAGTAAATAACATTAAATAAATTTTGTTAAACAATTGTATTGTATTGTAAAACAATAAAACAATTTTTACTGTGATTTCATTTTTATTAGCACTAAATGAATTTAATTTGGATTCCAATGTCTGTTCCATTAACTTATGAGCTGCTCTTATTTCTTGAATAATATCTAAATAAAATTATATGAAATATATTAAAAGTTAAATTCAATGTCACTGCTATATATATTTAATATTCCTCAGAAATTACTTGTAATGGATCCTGGATCGGCACAGATACATTTTTCATTATTTTTACTTGACATATCCAATTTCAAATTTCGCAATTCTATCTTTACTAATTCCAATTCATTAGAAAGTCTCTGATTATCTTTTTTCAACTCTGCTACTTCATTAGCATAGCATGTATTAAATGAATCTGGTTCTGAATCACTGCTGATTAGTTCAAATTTATCATCTTGATTGTTTAACCCTGGATCACTATGAGTACGCTTAATTTCAGATTCACTATCTATAACATTGATTGGAGGTAAACTAGTAAATTGATCTCTAGATGATACATGTTGACTAGGTTCTAGATATTCCCTGCCAATACCAACAGACACATATGGTTGATACACAGGATACAATGTATGAAAACGTGGATCAACAGGTATATTAAATGGAACAGGATAACCACAGACCGCAGAATCTGACATTGTAGGGTATAATCGTTGATTGGATTGATTCCATTGGTGTGTAGAAAATTCAGATATTTGTTCATTACAACTGGGTGGCCGATTATCAATCTTGGCATTCTTTGATCTTGAGAGTTTAGGTTTTTTTGTATTGTTATAACGGTTTCTACTATTACCAGGAAATCTTTCTAGATTACAGTCCGACAAATTTGTCCTGAAATTAACAAAAGTAATTACACTTTGCACAATATAATAAATAATTATTAATCCATAAGGCGGTTGTTATATTGTATTACCTGTTAATGTTGTGCATGTTTAAAATCAACTACATCAAACACATATTTGTAGCAAAATGAATGAATGGAAGAATTAATTGTCCAAATATGTATTATTCTGATATAATAAAATGTAAATAAAATGTATGTATTATGTAGAAATATGGAAATAATTAGATTAATAACTGATAATATAATATGATAATAGCATAAATAGTATTATCTATGATAATATCATATTTATGATAATAGGAAATAGGATAAATCAAGGTGTATTTATCAGGTGTCTATACTTAGCTTATCAGTTGAACGAAATTTATACTGCAGTTGAAAAATGCCACCAAGAACGCTGATTACCTTCAGAGAGCCGGAATTACGTAAATACTGTATATTATTATGTATAATAAACTAGAACATTATAGATCCTGAGTGGAGCGAAGAAGCTTATGGTTTTATAAAGAAGCTTATTGTTTTTTTTTGTATCTGTTAACAACTTTTCTACCAGAAGACTTGCTCGGATTTGTAAGTGTAGCATATTTTCTGAAAGGAAATCGGTGTGGGGAGGTACTTTAGGGAGGTCATTTTTCCATTTTCTCATAAAATATGAAAAACCGGAAAAAAAAAAAAAAGGGAAAATGTACGAAATATATTACTAAAATATTTTTATTTTTTTTTTACTGTACACAACTTTTCTACCAGCAATTTTGCTCCTACTTTTTATGATGGGAATTTTTCGAAAAAGAAATTATACTAGGAAGGTACTTTAAAGAGGTCGTTTATCGATTTTCTCTGGAGTTTTTTCACCAAATGTAAAAAACTGGGAAAAAACATAGGAAAACCGGGAAAAAGTCCTGGTTGTTGGAGGTTACACCTTAATAGGATTCTTATTTGAAAACGAGAAACAAATGTTTGGGATCCATTGGAGGTTACACCTTAATAGGATTCTTATTTGAAAACGAGAAACAAATGTTTGGGATCCATGTTTATATTATGTAAAAATATAAAAATATATAAATAATATAAATTAGTATGATTATATTTGCATTGTTTAATACCTAGGTAGTTAATATTTTAATTGCTTCACTACAAAGATTTCTGGTAGAATATCGATCACAATAATTCGTGCGGTTAGTTTTTGACATAGACCTATTAACAAATGAACTGCGCATAATATTTTATGTTGCCAATATAATTTTAGGGCAGTCACGGATAAAAATAAACTAATAAATATTCTATTCTAAGAAAAAATTATTGCGCAAAACAAGTATTAAGAAGCCTGCAAACGGCTATTTAATAAGGAGCAAAATTTAGGCAATTTCTAATGTCTTCGTCGTCGCCCAAGATCTTTGTGTTAGTCGTAACACAACTTCATTTACGAGTATTAACCATTTTAAAAATTTTATTTTACTTTATTATTTTATTAAATAATTCTTTTATGTTAAGCATTTTTTTGGTATTGTACGTCAAGCATGTGGATTTAACTAACAACCAGATCCAACATGCAATTAGTTCAAATGTACAGACTATTGTCATGTTACTCATTAGAAGTCATTAAGAGGTAGTAATGTAAGTGGTGGGGATATATTAAAGGCACTTATCGATATTAAAACATCAGTACAGAAGGACATCCAGAATAAAGCTGACCTAGAAATTAAATTACACAATTTATTAAATACTGGTGAATTTGATATGTTAAGTGATCATTTGTACTTTAAAAATAAAAACCCAAAGTAATATTGATAAAAGTGCAATTACATAGTTTGTAAGATGTGTTGCACGAAATGTGAAAAAACATTCAACAGCTAAAACTGTACAAGTAACTTTAATTTCAATGTTTCAAACAAAAGCATTTACTTTCCTGATACTTCTGAAGAAAGATTCATTCATTTATTCATAAATGAATGAATCTTTTGGTGTAGGTCACTGATTTATTCCGACTGACATTTAAATTTAACTCATTTATCATTTGGAAACAACTATCATAAATTTCCTAAAAAATAACGAGTTGAATACACATATTTTGGATCTTGGTAAGTACAGTATATTTTACTTCTATTACAGATTACATTAAACGTTTAATGTAATCTGTGCTTTTATTATGTCCATATTATTGCATGAGTACCTATTTCTTGTAAATTCTAGTAATGGATGAAATAAGCTTGCATGGCATTTCGACAAAAGTTGGTTGTCAAGTTCATCTACATACTTAAACAAAATATATTGTTAAGTTTTATTTGAATACAAGAATGATATTTGCATGTAGAAAATACAACCAATTAGTTTTAAACAAAAAAAAAAAAACTGAAAAATTATTAAAAAATTGATCAATAATTGTCAGTAGAAAACAATATGTCAATATGATTATCTTATATCTTTTAATTGTAGCTTGTAGATAAATAATAATAAACTCTATATAATGTACTTACTGTTTGAAGTATATTACGTTCAAATTTAATAATTACATTTATTTTTAATTCATAAATAAGTAGCAGCTCACTAGTAAATATACTCCTATTATTATTAATAATTCACATAATTCTTCTTATCCTTCGCCTTTATCCCAACTATTTGGTGTCGATCAACACAATTGACAATTAAAAATGATAAAACATTAGTTAACAATATTCATAGAAGAAAAACAAATTACTATACAATCAATGGGAAAAGTGATATTAATCGGCCCTCTCAGTGTATACCGAGTAATCCATTTAAGTGGATACACTCATTATCTCGGAGAGTATCAACTTTTTTCGGGATTTGTTTCCTAGAACATTTAAGAAACAAGCAGTTCTACAATTTTATATTTATGTTATTTTTGCCACCCTTATATTTGTGGGTAAACTACTACCTACTTTGGATTTTTAAATGGCAACCTATATTTAAAAGTCTAAATAAATTAGAGTATTAGTTAAAATAAATTTTATGTTGATATTTTTGATTTCTGTCAAGCCGTTCACGAGATATTCCACTTTTGAATTTGAGTTGAAGGAGAGTACTAATGCATTATTAACACGCCGTTCACCGTACCGCCACACAAATGATACTCCACTACTCTCTTCTACCCCAAAGTTAAAAGTGGAATATCTCGTCAATGGATCGATGGAAATTAAAAATATCAACACTAAAATTTATTTTAACGAATACTCCATCTATTTGTGGAATTTTTAATATAGGTTGCTATTTGAAAATCGAAATTAGGTAGTGATTTTACCCCTAAAATAAGAGTGACAAAAAATAACATAAATATAAAAATTGTAGAGCTGCTTGTTTCTTAAATATTCTAGAAAACAAATTCCGGAAAAATTTAATACTTTCTGAGATATTGAATTAAATTAATTACCTGGTACAGCGCTCCTAGCGGCACATTCAACCGGTGTAATATTTTCGTTGATGCTACCAATGGCAGGCGGGAGAGAGTGTGTACACCTGATAAATACACCAATTATTAAAGTATGGCTGTGTTAGTACTGACATCATGAATGCATAATAATCATAAATCATAATAGTTGTGCAATATACAGGACCACAAATTACAGAGTACTATAAGAACCGCTGTGGAAAAATGTCATGAATATCTAGTACCATAGATAAAAAAAATATATATTAATTTTGTTGAAGATGTGAAACCATAGGTAATAATAATCTATAACCTATATGTAGAAATATAATTATCAAGACTAAAAAGCCTTCATGATAGTAAACATAAAAAGCAATTAAGTGTTGGGTAATTATTAATTGAATATTATACTAATTTTTTTAATTATTGAACTGAGCTAATATAAAAGAGCATTATTGGAAACGATGTAAGAGATAAATTAGGTAGTTGTTACTTAATGAAATATTCAAATTAAAACAGCATAGGTATTTAAAATGTACTAGTTATTTATTGTAATTTATAAATAAATACTGATACATTAGTCATAACTGTTTTCTTTTTTTGAAACAATATAGTTTACAGATTATATTTAATACTAATTAAAATAGTGAAAACAAGGATTTAGTAATAATAGACTACACTGAGTGTTTGTATTGCAAAAAATATATCAAAAATAACAAATTTAATTATTGTATTATTAATGCATTTAAATATTTAATAGTAAACATGAATTTGTTATTTATTGAAGTACTCATTCATATATATAAATCAACTTTTGATCTAATAAAGATAAAAACTGTTGCTGTTATTTTTTTATTTTGAGCAACTAATAATACAATATAATTTTATGTATGCAAATAAAAAAAAATATTATAGTAATAAGTAACTGATATAAACAATAATTTAATAATGAATTTTATTTTATTTTATTAATTTATAGGTAGGTAACAAATCCTTCATGGCTGATTAAGTTGGATGAGATCAAAAAACAGATACAATTATACATTTTAAATTAACAGAAATAAAATTACAAATAATTAAACAAATAATAATCAATTAAAAAATTGCAATATCTATTGTTCCTATGGTGTTTTAGAAATACAATACAATAATTATTAATTAAAGATTAAATTTAATTATAAACAGGGTATAAATTAAATAATAATTTTTACTAATAAATAAACACATATGATTAAAATTAATTATTATAATTATTTAGTATAACATAGACAATAGACACCATAGTCTTTTAATAGTACAAAATATAAATAAACCAAGTTAACAAAAAAAAAAAAAAAAATAATTGCAACATTAAATAACTTATAAAATAATAATAATATATTTGATAGAATTTATTATTAACCATATATTCATAATATTAGTTATAAAGCATATTTTGTATTTAAAAATGTAATACTTCATTATGTAAGTAAATGTTATGTGATAGGGTAATAGTGTTTTTGTTAATTTCTTTCCATAATGTATTAACCATACTCATAAAAACCAATGTATGCAATATTTAATATTATTTGTACAAAATTTAAGAAATAAAAAGAATAGACTGAGTAAACAGAATAAAAAATCAATTGATGAAGAAAAATATCACGAGTTGTTAAATAAATAAACCCAGTATAATTTTGTGAAAATAATGTATATGATTGCCCAACTCGTCCCATTCTTGGGTTCAGATCTTAAATAGTAGGTAGTCTATACAAATTTATTTTTGTATACTATTCAAATCAAATTTAATTTATCAAAAGAAATAAAATAAAATATTTTCAATAATAAATTTGTACTCTATCTGAGCAACATCATGAGAACTTATAGATGTTAATTTAAACTTACACTATTCCAGTTTAAACACAATGTTTTATTTGCCTTTTTTTTGATTTTTTGTATTTTTCATTCCATATTCTGAACACAAGCACCAAGGAGTTAAGGTCTTATTACATTTTAATTCAATATCTAACACAAGAGTGTTCACACCATCAATTAATAATTCATGTTTTTTTTTTACAATATAGTTAATATTGTGTAAACCTGTGCGTCTATCACGTTTTCTTGTTACTTCACGCTGGTTATAACACTTTGTCATATCACGTTTTCTAACAGTTCGATCATGATTATGTCTAGAAAAAATAATAATAAATGTAAATTTTTTTATATTTTAAGTAAATTATCAGCCTCAAAACAAATCACTTTACACACCTGAATGTATTTGAAGTATCTGTTGATAAATTCCCCGGTCTATGAATACCTATCTTAGCTTCTTTTAATCGTAAATAGAATTCATCATCTTCAAGTCCCCAACCCCAATAATTGTTGCTTAAACCATTGATTTTAATAAAGTCTTCCCTATTCAAGTAATACATTTAACAATAAAATAATATAATATATAAAAAAAACCATCGGTTACATACTTGGTTATAAGTAGAATGCCACCGACAAATGAAGCATAATGGTATCGAGGATGTAAATGAGGTGCTGCTATGTGGTTAACATGACCAGTTGGGGGATAATGATAATCTAATTCTGGATTGAGAGGCAATAAATCGACATCATGCATGGCTATGTAATCAATCATATTAAATGATAACATTATTTCTTTAAAACCAGCATTAATTAATGAGCCTCTGTTAAAACGATACTGATCAACCTGTAAAATAACAAATATAATGTTAATAATATTATAATCATATTACAATACCTAAATCAGTTGAATTACTTGGTTGAGAACAAAGATTTCATGAAGTATATTCTGATTTTTGAGGAAAGAATGAATGTGGGGCACAAATTCTAGAAGTTCATCAAATCTTTCTCTAAATGGTATGACCACACCGAGTTTATTACTTTTCAATATAGTAGGAGTATGGTCTTTTAAACGTATACTTCCACCATTTTCTAATTCTCCTAAAATAAAATAAAATATTAGTACAGTAGGTATATTTAAAACTGTTAATTTCACTCTGAGAACATATATACTTACGAACATACAACAGTGCTAATAATAAAGTAATTACCAAAGTAAGTATTATTCCAATTAATAAAATTTTTGCTTTAAACATCATGATTTTGATTAGCTTTTCTAATATTGCGTTACGGCGATTATAATTTTGTTAATTTTTGTGTACAAATATTTAGAATTAATGAGTAGCATAACATCACACGTTTTAAACATTTTAAAATATTATTAATCAGATATTTGTTTATAATAAAATATTTCGCATTGAGTATTTAATTTCAATTTGACATACATATTATAATAGTAAAATGTTTAACCCGTTCAAAACGGAGTAAAATATTAATATCCATTAGTAATGTTATTCAATTTTGTTTTAAATATTCTTTTTTTTGATATCACTTATATCAGTATTTGCTCTTAAACGAATAGAACTTATATTATCAGTAAAATTTGTAATGATCTGTTATCATATTAAATACAGTTTTATGATCTTATCATATCACATCACAGATATATAAAACAACAAATATATAATATTGTTTTATATATCTAAGGAACTAATTATTAACCTCGAGTATACACGACTCACAAATTAAAATATTATAAATACAGTTCGTTCACGCTAAGAGGTACCAGAGTAATTTATTCAAAACAATTTTTGTATGAAAATGTTTTTCTAATTACAAAATTGGCAAAGTTATAATATGCTGAAATTTAATATTTACGAAAATAATCTGTTATTGAAGGCCGAAAGAATTAATCAATGAAAAATATTACTATAAATTTTAAAACAAACAATTCTTAAAATAATTGAAATTGAAGAATCACTGGCAAGAAAAAAAACAAAATGATAATATAATCAGAGAATTAATAAAATCATATAATATAGATTTGATGATAAATCGATGTTTCTTAATATAAATATTATATACATCATATACTTTTTTAATATAATATAATAGACCATTTAATATTATTAAATAATTTAAAAAAATTTGGTATCCAAGGTCCAGCCTACGACTTATTAAGCTTGTATTTGAAAAATAGGAAACAAAGAGTTCAAATAAATAATTCCTCAAGTCTAGAAACACCTTGGATAACATAAAATAAAATATAACATTGAAATTGGCAGTGAAGTTGAAATGTATGAACTTAATTTTAAATAAAGAAAAAAAAAAAGTGATGGCAGTTTTACAAAATATAAAACTTGTACCTATTATTGTCATATGTCAATATAATAGCAAAAAAAAAAATGTTTATATAAATTTTTTAGATAGTTCCTAGGCATACCCAACATGCCTATGTAATCAATGGTAGGATACAGACATAAATAAGATACAAAATGGAAGATACAGGAGAAGGGAAAATACATTTAGGATACTGAGGGAATAAGGATACAGGAGAAGTTAGTTGCGATACTAGAACAGGTCTATACATGTACAGTAGACATTAGTTTTAATCAGGGCTCCATGGTTCTGCTCCCAGGCGCCCGGTACTCCCGTGATATAAGATACAGTATTCTGAAAGTTCGGCTCAAGGGACTTTATTGTGTTTCATGAGTTTTTGTTTATTATTTTATTTTATTCTGTGTTTGAATTAAATTGAATAATTTATAATATTATATTAAAATGCCAAAAAAAAAAAAACAAAATGTAAAACACAATTTGGTTGATTTGGTTTTTATCCAAGAATTTATACTCAATTAGTAATAACTTGGATTATTTGATTTCACATTTTTAATTCTTCTAAAAAGTAACCTATAAGCATTCTTATAGGTGTACCATTGTACAAATTAAATAAATAATAAAGTAGGTATTTATAAAAAACAGCCAACAGGTGAACAAAAATACACATTTTTAATGTTAAAAATATATTTACTTAGCAGAAGTCATAACAATGATCATAATGTAGTTGCAATAGATTATAGAATACCAGTGTTTGAAGGCAAACGTACAGCGCCACTGCTTCCACCATGTACAATTTTACAATCAATTAGTTATGACTTAGTAGAAGCTGTACAATATATTGAGATAATACTATATTAATTAATTTACTTGAAAATATTGATCATACATTTGATGAAATTTTGAAAAATCTGAACTCATTTAAAATCTATTGACGACGAAGAAAATTTTAATATTCCCATAATAATAGCTCGTTAACAAAATCGTGTGAATATTGCTACTAGTTGCCCGAAAACATATTTAAATATAGCTATTGCAATACCATGTTTTGATGATTTTATAATACAATTAAAAGAACGCTTCACTAACTATAAAAAAAAATAATATTATCAACATATTTTTTACTTCCTAATAAATGCACTAATTCTAAATTAGAAACAAGTGATTTCGGATTACACACTACTCAGAATTTTTAGATTTAGGTGTTCTTTCAAACTAGTTAAAACGTTAGAAAAGAAAATGGTGTATTTGATTAATATTAGAACGGTCTCTTGAAATACTCGAAGCATATTCTAACTGTAACCAAAATTTTTTTGCAAATATTTAATTTTTAATTTAAAGCTTTAGGAACTTTACTAGTAATTACGGCAACACTGGAAAGAACTATTTTGCCACTGAAAATAATCAAAAAATACCTAAGAAATGCAACCGGAGAAGACTGATTGACTGGTCCAGCATTAGTCAGTGTGCATAGGAATATTGTTATAGAACCAGATAGAAGAAGTTATTAATCGGTTTTCAAATGAAAAACAAAGAAACATAGAGTCTATCATATAATAAACCATTTTGCAAATTAAATTTATAAAATTAAGTTTAATAATTATTTTAAAATTTGCAATAAAAAATTTTAAATGTAAATTTCATAAATATATATTAGTACTAAAATATGAATTTTATACTATATTAAATCACCTACCTAAACAGCTATACAATATTATAATAAAATTAGAACAACGCAAATGTTTGGCTTACAACCCCCCTCCCCTTCCCGAAATTAATTTTCATGTACGAACTTGGAAAAAAGGATAACATTGAGTAAGAATACCGTAGAAAAAAGTGTATATAGAAATTAGTTTATTTATAATATAAAACACGCACATGGATTTGTTATCTTTTTACAATAATTTATCAAAAAATGTATCCAACTATAGTTTAGATTAAAAATATCGTCTGCCACAATATTAGTGCAGGTATATAAGTATTAAATTCAATGTACGTAGAATAATTAGACATCATACAGTATGTACGGATTTTTCTTGCCCTGTTAGTATTCAATTGTTTTCAATTTTTTTTTTTCAATCGGTTTGTCTTTGAGGGGGACATCGAATTCAATTTTTATTTTCATCCCCTAAAGACAAAAAAAAATAAACTTTAGTAATATAATTATTATTATATTCATAATCAATAACTTTATTTATTCACTTTAGATAATTTTCAAAACGATCATTTTGTAAAAAAATATTATTCAAACAATTTGAATGCATCTTACATTCATATCTGATGAATAATTTCTTAGTTATATAAATTTTAATTCGTAACATGGCTATATAGTAGTACTAAGTAGTTGTGGGTTTGTGGGTTTATGGCGGCGAATGGCACTTGTTTAAAAATGATAAGAACCGTTTTCATAATATGCTTGGTCATATTTCCAAACGTGGTTTTGCATAACAAATAGAGGTTTGTTTTCGATTAATTTCTTCCATTTGTTTGCTCACAATTTTAAAAGTAGTATTTGGCCATTCAATTATTACAAATTTAAATATAGATATAGAAATCAGGATAGTCTATGGAAATTAGACTTTCGGTCCATTATTTATCCGTATCATAAATTTGTCCTTATCATTTCGAACAACTGCCCTCTACCCGCTATGGGTATAATGTAATGTTACTGTGGTACATCGAGTGATAATAAAATTAAAATTTTTAGTTATTACTATATTTTGTTTTCCTCTTAATATTCTGTGTCTATGACTAAACAAGTCAAGAAAATAGGCATTTAATTGCTTCAAATGTCGTCAGTTATGGTAAGTTTGATATTGAAAATTAATAAACATTTTATTCCATTTTGTTTCATGTACTAATAATTCAAATGTCTATGTGGGTACAATGGTTTTATAATTCATTTTTATTTAATTTGTTAATTATTGTTTAGTAAGATATAGGTATTAGTATTTTATTTAACAATTAATACTGCAGATCAATGTTCCTAATATTTTATATTAGTTTGAAGATCTTTTAATTATGAAAGAACAAAATTGTACGTTTCTATCAAATGTATGTACATAATGTTTACTATGTACATACAGTTATTCTAGTGACCATATGTCATAAATTTTACTTTTATCTGTATTTATTGATTCGATTTATTATATAATATTATTTATTTCAGATGGACGATAGTGGTATTGATAGCGATACTACTAAACGGCATACAACTAAAACCAAAGAAAACAACCAAGTAATTATGCATTTATTATATTTCATAATAAAAAATATGTTAAATGTTAATTTTTATTTACACTTACATTCTATTTCATTTTTATTATTTTGTTAAGAAACTAATATCAAAAATTATAACTAAATATCCAATTCCTTATATTGGTGTGTGATTGAAATAACATTAAACATAATATTATAAATATGAATATATAATTTAAATATTTCATTTTATTGTTTTTTTTTACTATACAGAATAGTGATGAAGATAGCAACACAAGTGATTGCTCGATGAGAGTTACAAAACCTTCATTTTTTCAGAAAAAACTTGGTAAGACAAAAAAGAATAAATTTTGTATTATTTTGTATTGTATGGTTTTAGTGTAGAAAAAATCATTATCCTACTTTATTTTTATTTTGTATATTTTGTTTAGATTTTGCTTTGTTTCCTTTACTGAGTTTTCAAATTATTTTATCATGCACGATGAATAAATTACAGTGGTAAGATTTTTATAATTTTCTTTTTTTTTTTCTTTGGTTTTATGAGATACAATATTTTTTTCTTTATTCCTGACCTGTAGAATGTGTTCATTTTTGGTTACATAGTTTTTTTTATTGTTTTAATTATTTTGCATTCTACTATAGAACAATATGCTAAACCGGGTTTAATGGAATACAACCAAATGGCTGTTCCAATGAGTAAATCCTCTAAAAATGATAAATTACCAGTTTTAGTAGATTGGGATTCATCCGACAGGTATATGATAATATTTTTCAAAATGTAATCACTATTTAACTTTTTTTTTTATTTATTTTTATTTAATTTAGTGAAATGGAAATACGTTTTTTTCCGGGACCAAAAGCTAGACAAACATTGAGCGATACATTTAGTTTACAAGAATTTCATGGCTCTATAGAATCAGAGGATTTGGACCTGATACCACCACAGGACGCCATTAAAACTGAAAACCAATGCTGCACTCTAGTTTTGCAAAGGTGTGCAATTATTTGAGTTCTGTATCTCATTTTAATTAATTGACATTATTTTCATAAACACTTGTATATCACAAACCAACATTTTTTTTCAGTCAATATTTTGTATTTATAATTTTTCTTTTTCAATCAATCATATAATATAATAAAATATAAATAACACATCTTTATAAAAAATTAAATATCTTTTAACTTGATGAATGTTTAGTTTTATATTTTTTTAAGATTGACTTAAAGGTTTAACCTTATTTACCAAAACTTTTAGCAATTTTGATAAATGGCGTGGACAGGAAATTATTATTTGTTCATTGGTTTTTTAAAACAACTGTGGCCTTTTATAATTGCCACTGCTGGAAGTGCTAATATGACTATGGGAGGAAGAAAATATTATTTTTTTCCAGAGTTTCTTAAAATAAATATCGGTTGAAGTCTGGCTCTTTGGTTCAAAAGAAAAAAAATGTTAAAATATCAAAAAACCATTCCTATATTTTTTCTTCCCCTTCCTTACCTCATTCACATTATGCAGTCAAAATATCCATTTTACAAATTTCTGCAGTAATATGCGAGGTTTCTTTCACTTTATATAAAATAATGTAGAATATTAAATTAAAATACAGATGCTTAATACATAATGTAATATACTGTGTATAATAGTTCTTTTTGCTATAAACTATTAAATTAAATAAAAACACTGAAAAAAAAAAAAAATGCAATAATTATTGTTAAACATAAATGGAGTGGAAAATTTTTTTTTTTTTTCTATTTATTATATTAGAATAACTTCACATTTTATTAATTATTTAAACATTATTGAACAAAACAAATTGACAGTAAATGATTGGTTATGTTAAAAATTAAGCATTGGAGTGAGTGTTGGGTATATAGTAATACTGACTAATGTTAGAAGCTACTATTTAGACCACTACTATTTATGAATGATTGTTTTAACAAAAAATATTATTATGAATATAATTGTTTTTATTAACATTTTTGTTAAGTTAAAGTATTTTATAAGCAAGAATCTGTACCAAGTTATTAAAAATAAAAGTTAATATAAGAAATATCACCATTAAGAAACATCATTAACTTAAATGAATATTTTTTAAATAAGTTAATTTATTTTCTTCAATACCTACACCATATTTAAAAAAATGTAAACAAGTGGTTGAAGGGAAATTTATTGGTATACCACTTCATAAATTTAATTGCTGATTTTAATTATGATGAATACATTATGAATAATTTCAACTACCTATACGTATAACAAAACAATTTAAATGTACGGTAATTTGTTTTTTTCTGTAGTTTCCAAATGATGAAAATGATTATGCACATTTATGAATTGTTTAATTGAACATACTGAATATAAAAAATTATACTCCTAGAAGTACACAAATTGCCTATATAAAACGCCGTCTTGATAAACAATAAGATATGTTCAATTAATAAAACTGAATACTTGCAAAATAATATTCCGATCAATGATGATTACATGAAAAATATTAATTTTAATTCTGAAAAAATAACATGATAATACTAGACTAATATTATGATATAAATATATACAATTACACCATTCAAAATATTGTACTAAAACAAAATGTCTTCATAAGAGCGTCATGACTCCCAAATACCCCTAGTTGCTCCATTGTCTATTTGACGAATACATTATATTTAAAAGAAAATGATTCGAGTTCTTTTGATTTTATTATCACTTTAATATAACAAGTAAATTAGATATGAAAAAATAAATTAGATATCTATTGGCAGGAAAGTTTGTTTTATAAGTTTTTCCCAGAGAATGTTTGGTAGAAAGGTTTTAGGGTTTTGGCACCAAGAGTTTTATTTTGAAGCGAATAAGAGAAAAGAGTTCAAGACAGTTTGTAATAATATATAAGTACTAACGTTTATTACTAAGAGAAAAAAATTTATGTAAATTAAGAATATTTTGGTAAGGCCCATGTGTGGATCTAGACATATTACATTTAATTAAAACAAAACACAAACAAATATTTTTAACTGATTAGATGACATTATTCTGCTTAAATGTATTATTAATCCAAACTAAATCTCATGAGAGAGGAATAAAATGTTTTTTGAGCTATTGGGTCAATAAATGAGCGACATTTTCTTATAATAAATCCAAGATTGCGCTTTGTTTTATTTTTAACTATCTTAGTATGGTTAGAATTTAATTCAAAGTTAAATATTACACTATGAGATCTTTGAAACTAGATATTTGTTTTAGAATAGAACCAAAGAAAGTATAACTATAATTAATTGGACATTTTATTAATGCAAAGTGCACAAGTTTACATTTCTCAATAGTTAGCATTAAGCAGTTATTACATTTCTCAAGGTTATTGATATCAATTTGAAGATTAACTGCGTCTTGATTTGTTTCTATTATTGTTGACGGAAAATGATGAGAGTGTTGAATGACGTTGAGGAGGTCAATTTATAAATATTAAAGGAGAGAGAAGACAAACGGTCGTCCTGATGGATACCTAAGGCAACAACAAATTTGGCGGATTCAAAATTTTGTAATTTAACTATAATATAGCGATTAGTAAGAAAAAAATGAAACCACGACAACAAAGAATCAGTGAAGCCTAATTAATTTAGTTTGTCAAATAAGATTACCCGATTGAGTATTCCGAACGCTTTAGTAAAATTTGTATAAATTATATATCCGTTTGGACGTTGACTTCAATGATTATAGAATTATATTTAGAGCTTAATTATTACATGAAGATCGCCTGTGCATAAAACCATATTAGTTATTATTAAGAAAAGTAGAACAATAATTAGTTATTTCTGAAGAAATTAATTTGGAGAAAAGTTTTGGTAGAATTAATAATTTTGAAATGAGGTTTTCAGGATTGGGAAACAAAAAACGATTTACAAAATTGAAGAAAAAATATCTGATTCTAAAGATAAATTAAATATTCTAGTTAGAATAGGACTCAAAAGAAATCTGAAATTATATAGAAGAACACTATAAATAAGATTAGGTCCGACTCCAGAGTAAAAAGATGATAAAATACTAGACATCATATTAAAAACATCCATATTAGTTAAGATTAAATATAATTAATATGCAAGAAATTATTGAATGGGATTGAAGAATGTATACAAGTTAAAGTTAGAATTAGTTAGGTTAGGTTAGAGTAAGTTGCGACTTTGACAGGATCGCCTCGATCTGAGTCAAGGAGCTATTTGGCCCAGGCGATTGATCCTCGACAAGGGGCGTTGGTCTGGTAGATGGGTGTGGCCGATAACGTTCTATCTGATGCAGGTCTTGACCGGTCATGGATATTTCGGCCATTATTTCCATCGGATCGAATAGTTGCCTAGTTCGGAGTGCGTTTACTGCCAGGCTACTTACAACACTGCTGAGAACCCACCTTTGGGTACCCTCAGCTAATGGTGAAGACAAGCGGCGTCAGAGGATTCCTCGGGGGGTGTGACCCTCGTCCTGAGGACATAATAAAACTTCTTTGTGAGCAGACGGGTCTGCCGGGCAGCCCTGCGCTGTATGATTTCAATACAAGCAACATGCTTGTATATCAACACTTCAACCAAAATATGTAAATTTTCATTTTATACAACATAGATAAAATACTGTTATCAACAATATTTTTCCAATAAAAATTAAAAGTCATTGATAGAAAAACTGGGAAGGCTATTTGGAAAACTTGAGGGGATTTAGCCTCCAACCTCTCTAATTTTTGCTTATATAGAGGGTGTGAACTTCTTTCCTTTTATATACGCTTATATCTTAAGAAAAAATTATTTAGTACTTAAATTCAAAATCCTCGTTACGTCAATGTAAATAAAAAACGCCTAGAGATTTTTGACTAACCTACTATACACGGAAAAATTCTTTGATAAATTGATTCACCTTACTTACTTTTAAAAATTTATTATTAAAATTTATTTTAAAGTTCCTCCCTGTTCTTCTAGTCGGTCAGTTGTTTCACTCTTTATCTCTTGTTCATGTTATAGTCTTAATGAACTACTGAATGGATGAGTGAGAGTGAAAAGAGAGCATTTGTGATTACTTATTTCTATTGAACAGAATATCACATGTGACCCCGGGGTTAGCAGAATTTCGGTTTAATTCATAAGGTCCAAATAATGTTTAGTCCAAAAATGTTAGTACTATATCACTTTCAGGGATTAAAGTGGCATAACATAGCAAAGGGTACTGTGATCTCTATGTTATTTTGAGCGTTCCATGCAATATTTTTCCGAATGTTCAGGAAATCAAGGAATCATCAAGAAAAAGGTTGTTCATTGATTTGTCAAACTAAAGAAATATTTCTCGCTTTGCTCAAAAACTGACATTATTTTCTTTAAAATAAATCATATGAATATAAAGGTAACATTAATTTGATTTTATTTGTATCATCATTGTCCAACACTAATGTGTTAACATAAAAATGAACAAAGATATGTTAGAAAAATGAATATAAGGAACTTTAATACTTTCCTGATATCTTCATTGTAAATAACTTTTAACGCTTACATATAAATTAACAAAGTTATATAATTTATATCTGCAAGTAAAAATAAACCATTGTTAAAAAAACGATTCTGAGCGAAGTTCGTTTATACATCATGATTTAAAGGGTCGTAATATTTAATATTTTCATCAAAATTTGGTCTTATGAAAAAAAAAAAAACAACCTCATTACACTCAATTTCTGAGTTCTCTTGCGTTCCCCCTCACTTTAACTCCGGGTCACTTTGTTCCAATCTACTTTACTCCATAGAATTAAGACACAAATATGCTATAGTCCAATATATTTTTGTCCAATTCTTGAAGTTGTTGTAAACCAAAATACATTGTAGTCCAACATATTTTTTGTTCAATATATGTAATCCATGAAGTAGATAAAAATGCAATTAAACGAATGACAAACTTACAATAAAACAGAACAAGACCAACTATACCACATAACTTATTTTAAGTTGAAATTTACCATCCTTACGATGGTGAATTTGATAAAAAAAATTTACAAAAACACGTGATGAATCATTTCTTAAATAGTGGGAGTATAATCTCGACGGATCAATAATATGTTTTACGGGAGAAAACCTTCCATTATTGGTTGCAAGTGACACTATTTTTTTTGATGGAATTTTTAAAACTGTACCAAGACAATTCACGCATGCAGTTATTCACTGTACATAGAATTTACATGGATAATATAGTGTAATTAGTAATTAGTAATTTAATAATCTAATTAGATTTTATATAGATTTTAAAAGTCAAAATTAAATAGTTTAATAATAATTATTTGATTTATTTAAAAAATATGAAAATAATGTTCTGTGTTAATTTTTTTCTGGTCCCATGTTTGAGATTGTTTGACATTCAACACACATCAATACGAGATACGTAGTTGCACACTTGCACTGGTCACTGCCTCACTGGTAGTGGTGCTCTGTAGCGTTTCAGTTACATGCGCAATTAAAGATATCGTGGTTATATGAACGTAATGAGTTTTCCAACAATGTTTATGAATAACTTTATGACCTACTGGAAACATAGATGAACTCTATTATCAAAACGTAACCTCATCGATTTCAATTATGGAAACCGATAATCGATAAGGTTTGTTCTATATTAATTAACTAAATATTATTTATCAAATTGGGAGATTTATGTAATAAATGCATCCAGATATCCGCGTAGGGTAATATCGTTCTTTAAGTATACGCACCAACAGAAAAACAGAGAAGTGGGTATACGCCCCACTACACCACTGATTGATAATATTATATTAATATGACAATGGTCGCGTTTATAACATAGATATCGGAATACAATTGATTGAAAATATTATGATAGTCCATTAGTACATTTTGTTTTTTTATTTTATTTATGCATTATCTATAGATAATTACTATTATTATAATATCTACTAAACATATTTTATAATAATAATATTGTTTGATAATAATATTAACATGACTAAAAATTAAAACCAATTATGCACTACCTTTTTTTTCCCAAGTAAACCAAAACTAACAAGGAAATTTTAACAAATGCATTCAAAAAAAGTTCATAGGGGGATATGATACTCTTATCCCTCCCCCCCGTGAGCATGTCTCTAAGCAGCATAGTATTTATACCATAGTATTGTGAGTTAGTGGAAAGCGGTCGGAAAATAGAAAATCGGATCATGTATTAATTGACTGGATAAATACCTGAACAAATAATATATACAATTTTGTAAACACTTTGACATGCCTAGCCATTAACACATTAACCAAAAGTCAGAGTTTAACCCATATATCTTAAACAAATGTAAATATGCTGACTCACCTTCTGGCTGCGTATCGGTTTTCGACAATGATACATCACTGTCACACTTTCCATGGTATCGATATGTATGTGTACTCTCTACGTCTTTCAGTTCACGAAACATAATTATTGAATTGATTGCGGACGCAATATGGTCACCGGTTAAATTGATCGCAAAAAAAAAATATGTGGGCATTGATTTACATAGACTTCTCTGGTTTATACTATACTGCAATTATTAAATAAAATAATAATAATAAATTTAATAAAATTAAAAAATGTATTGATTTTTAGCATATTTATCCATTAAATTATTACAAAAAAAAAGAATATATTATAATATAATGCATAAAGTATAAAATGAACTAAAAATAATAATAATAATAAAGAGCATTATTTAATAATAATATTATACGCGCATGCGCTCATGGCGACTCAAGAACGAATATTGATAAGTCGAGGACGGAGACGCACCAGAAGTGACGTAGCTAAGATTTTTCAATGGCCCCCCATTGAAAAATTCTCTTTAATTCTCTTCTTTAAACTCCCCCCCCCCGGAAATTTAAAGTTAACGTCTATACAATAGGTAGGTATACATAAAACATATTTTTAATTTTGTTATACTTTAATATTAAAACATTTAAAAAGTCAACAATTTTAATTTTAATTACACTACATTAACCATAGTTTTCTTGTAATGGTCGCTAATTTATTTAGGATAACATCAGGGTTTATCATTATATTATCACTCTGTGTATATTTATCATTGCCAAACCATTCAACCTATTTTCACACGTGGGGTGTTTTATGAGTATGTTTTTAATATTTTTAATGTTGAAAAAGATCGTTCAAAGGTAGCAGTTTTTACTGGGAAGGTTGCTAAAGTTTGTAGAAGTTTGAAAGTAGAAGGGAAAATGTATAGATTATAATATAAATGTGAAAAATTTTGAAGAGCGTGAGCATTACTTTTTGGTAAATCTTATGTTCCAGAAAATTTTTGTTGCCATATTTTAATTTCACTTACAACTGTTAAAACTCTGTAATGAACTAATGCCTTGATACATTTCATCGACTAGCTGCTCATTTTTTTCGCCATAAAGTTTAATGGATGATAGTAAAATAAAGTTAAAATGTTCAACTATGTAAGATAAAAATTGCTCATCTAATTGATTTAAAAAATTAGCTACGAATGGAATAACTAAAGATATATTTTGTAAAAATCTTCAGGCAAATTAATCTGTACATCTGTTGTTTTGCTTGTTAACTGTAACGAGGAATAGATGTTTCAACGTTTAAGGTATCATATTTAGATTTTACATTAGTAAATATAATTTTAAATTCATTTTTATAGTTTAATCTTAGTTTTAATTATATTTGCCACGTCGATATGTACGTGGCGTAACTACGGGGGTGATATGGGTAACATATAAATATCACTCCAGAACCTTTTTTTTTGTACTGTTACTTTGTAATATTTATCATTTTGGTATAAAATATAATTGGGATATGCCCTATAAACTTAAGATCTTGCGGTTTACATTATAGGTGGACATAATATAGTGATTTTATAGGAAGTATCTTGATTTTTCTGTTTGAGAATATTAAGTGATGAAGAGTTCGTGGCTTCGGTAGAAAAACGAACGCGTGTCACGTGCGTCGTGGACAAAACGCCGTCGTCCGTGACAACGATGAAACAACCAGGGTCGTCCCAAAAGGGTGAATTGTCACCCTACCAAGTTTACAGTAGGTATACTTCAGTTGGCTCCAGTGGCGTACTTACGGTCATAAGAATGAAGTGCTGGTTGAATTTTAAAATAATAAAAATATGAGGCTGGAATTTTTGTCACAAATGTTTACCTAAATAGTATTAATAGTATAATAACAATGATTAACTGCCACAAAATTTGTAAAGATTTATATTTAATTTATTAATTATTTGTACCTTTATGTGTTTGATTATTAGGAAAATAATTTTCCTAATTTTTCTAACCTATTTATGGACGTTACAGTTT